ATCACCTTCTGGTCGGGCATGGTGGTTCAAGCCTGTAATCCCAGTACTTTGGGAGGCTGATGCGGTTGGATCACCTGTGATGAGGAGTTCGAGATCAGCGTGGGCAACATGGCAAAACCCTGTCTCTACAAAAATACAAAAATTAGCCGGATGTGGTGGCAGGCACATGTAATACCAGCTACTTGGGAGGCTGAGGAAGGAGAATCCCTCCAGGAGGTGGAGGTTGCAGTGAGCCAATATCACGCCACTACATGCCAGCTTGGGTGACAGAATAAGACTCTGTCTCAAAAAAAAAAAGTTATCACCTCCTGTGAGTCTTTCCCAACATTTCTTCCTCCCTCTCCTACTGCTTCTTCCCACAACCCATCTAATTTAGGTGCTTTTCTTCTGTGTTCCCTCACAATGTTCTGCAATGGTCTGCTGACTTTTTGGATTCTACTCCCATCTCCAACCATCCCTATGCTGCTAAACCATAAACTGACCTCAAAAGCAGGGACTATTGTTTTTGTTCTCTCTTTCTATGGCATACATGAGGCATTCAATACAATTTTTGGTGATTAAACAAATAAGTGAAAATGTTATTTCCATATTCCCAATGGATAATATTTCTTGCCAATTTTTACTACAGTGACATGAGAAATATGATGAAAAGCTTTTCTTTCACAATGAGTAGTAAGTATTCAATAAATGGAAGAAAGGAAGGAAGGCTGAAAAACATTGTCCACAAATTGAATAGATAAGAAATGAAAAGTTCACCAGGAGTCAAAAGCATTAACAGGCTCACTCCTCTTACAGGTAACTTAATAAAAGATTCTACTAAATGAAATGTTTCACATATTAACAAGTCAATTAAAACATTGTTCATGAGTTAATAATCTATATCAAAACTCTTAACAAAGGCAATAATGACAAACAGATTCCTGATTTCAATAGGAGATAAACCTATTTTATTTTGGTTAGGCTTGTGCTCAAGGTTCACTGTCTCAGTTGAGGTCAGTGTTATCCATCTGAGATAATATCTAATTTTAACTGTGCTTGAAAGGTTACACTCTTCAAATTATATTTAAATTTCTTGATTACTTTCATAAGACAAGGATGCTTAATATTAAATTAAATTAATTAGTTTATATTTTTTGAGGCAGAATCTCACTCTGTCACCCAGGCTAGAGTGCAGTGGTGTGATCTCAGTTTATTGCAGCCTCCGCCTTTTGGGTTCAAGAGATTCTTTCACAGACCGGGCGTGGGGGCTCACGCCTGTAATCCAAGCACTTTGGAGGCCAACGCAGGCAGATCACCTGAGGTCGGGAGTTCAAGACCAGCCTGACCAACATAGTGAAACCCCATCTTAAAAAAGAAAGAGATTCTTCCATTAGGGTATCTGGGACTACAGGTGCATTGCATCATGCCTAATTTTTTTTTAAATTTTAGTAGAGATGAATTTTCACCATGTTGGCAAGGCTGATCTCAAACTCCTGGCCTCAAGTGATCTGCCCACCTCAAACCTCCTAAAGTGGTATGATTATAGGCGTGAGCCACTGCGCCTGGCCAGATGCTTAATATTTTAAAACCAGTCTGTGGCGGTTACCGCTCAAAAGAATTTTTTTTCTTTTTTTTTTTTAACTACTTAAATAAATCACAAGGTTTGACCTCTTCTATTCATTTACACCTAAGGATTTATTATCCCTTATTTTTCCTCAGCCAAATGAAAGCTAAATATTTGTTAACATCCTCAAAAATAAAATTGGAGCGATTCAAAAGGTGGTTAATTGTTATGTGCTCTTATTATTATTATTTTTTGAGGCCTTGCTCTGTCATTCAGGTTGGAGTGCAGTGGCACAATCTTGGCTCACTGAGACCTCGACCTCCCAGGCTCAAGCAATCCTCCTACTTCAGCCTCCTGAGTAGCTAGGACTACAGACATGTGCCACCATGCCCAGCTAATTTTTTTTTGTTTTAAATTTTTTGTGAAGATGGGGTCTCACTATGTTGCCCAGGCTGGTCTTGAACTCCTGGGCTCAAGAAATCCTCTCACCTTGGCCTCCCAAGTGTTGGGATTACAGGCATAAGCCACTACGTCTGGCCATCTGCTCATTTTATACAGTATCTCAATAATATGTTAAGTACTCACTATGGCCATAGCTCTTAATGAGCTCCTTTATTTTTTATTCTATTTCCTAAAATTTATTTATTTATTTTATTTTATTTTATTTTGTTTGAGACGGAGTTTCGCTGTTGTTACCCAGAATTGAGTGCAATGGCATAATCTCCGCTCACTGCAACCTCCACCTCCTGGGTTCAAGCAATTCTCCTGCCTCAGCCTCCTGAGTAGCTGGGACTACAGGCACACAGCACCATGTCCGGCTAATTTTTGTATTTTTTTAGTAGAGACGAGGTTTCACCTTGTTGACCAGGATGGTCTCGATCTCTTGACCTCGTGATCCACCTGCCACGGCCTCCCAAAGTGCTGGGATTATAGGCGTGAGCCACCACGCCTGGCCCTATTTCCTAAAATGTATATTAACCATTATAAACACATGAAGATAAGTCCAGAAGCAAAAATTCCAGTGCATACAGTCAGCAGGAAATTAATCATTCCTATTCAAAGCTAAAACCAAATAGCTTTTAGTTCCATATACTCTTTTTATACAGTCAATGACTGTTTCCTAGGCAATGTTTAAACATCTTCAAACAGTATTTATACCACCTAATCTTCAGTCCTATTCTCACATTCTCTTGGAGCCGCCTTTGTCTTTTCATTTATTTACCTTTTATAAAACTGGAGCCTCATCAACATCTCAACAAACAGGAAAATATACTTCTGGGCAAGAATTTCTGATACACCTGCATCTTAGCCAGGTACACGTGAGCATGTCTCTAATATTCGCTTTTGGTTTTTTTTTTTTTTTGGCTTGTGTATCTTAGCATCTTTTCTTTTTTTTTTTAATTATTTTATTTTATTTTTTAATCTAATATTAGTTTTAACAATACACAGACTATAACTGGTCTTGTAAATTTTGTTCAAGTTGGTAACTTAACAAGAAAAAAAGTTGAAAGGAAAACAGTAAATAATGAAAGGCAAAGTCTAAGCAACGATGGCATTCCCAAGTTGAAGAATTGACATAGAAGGGAAGAGCTGTTACTACATGTATGTAGCCAATTCAATTCTAGCTAAAGACAATTTTCAAAGCCAAATTAAGTATTTTAAAAATCTAAAGTAACATCCTAATTGTATATGTTTTCAAAACTAAGGCCAGTAATAAATATACCTCTTTTTTTTTTTTTTGAAGGGGGCGGTTATTTACTAAGGCTTTGCTGGAAAGAAAGTAGATTGTTCAAAATGTTACCTTCAAAACTTCTTCACGAGGGAGTAGGGTGATGAGAAAACACAGTAAAAAGTTACAAACGGGTGGGCACGGTGGCTCAAGCCTGTAATCCCAGCACTTTGGGAGGCCGAGGCGCGTGGATCATGAGGTCAAGAGCTCGAGACCATCTTGGTCAACATGGTGAGACCCCGTCTCTACTAAAAATACAAAAAATTAGCTGGGCAGGGTGGCACATGCCTGTAATCCCAGCTACTCGGGAGGCTGAGGCAGGAGAATTGCCTGAACCCAGGAGGCGGAGGTTGCGGTGAGCCGAGATCGCGCCATTGCACTCCAGCCTGGGTAACAAGAGCGAAACTCCGTCTCAAAAAAAAAAAAAAAAAAAGTTACAAATGAAGGATGAGGATGTATGCTGCTATCAGAGAAGCCAGCAAAATACTCGGTTATATCACAAGACTCAGGATCTCAAGACTAACTATACTATGAAATGAATAATCCATTAAATAAGGAGAAATTTAGGGAAAAAAAGGAAAAGCTGAAATTATTTTTTAAAATTTTCAAAAATTAAAATAATCCTCCATTGTTTATATATCTATATCTATAGATATTTTTTTGAGACAGGGTCTCTGTCATCCAGGCTGGAGTGCAGTGCTGCAATCTTGGCTCACTACAACCTCCGCCTTGTGGGTTTGAGCAATTCTCCTGTCTTAGCCTCCTGAGTAACTGGAATTACAGGCGCCTGCCACCATGCCCGGCTAATTTTTGTATTTTTAGTAGAGATGGGGTTGAACCATGTTGGCCAGGCTAGTCTTGAACTCCTGGCCTCAAGTAATCCACCTGCCTCCGTCTCTCAAAGTGTTAGGATTACTGGGTGAGCCACTGTGCTCGATCCAATTGTTGATACTTGATTTGTAAAGCTGCACAGAGGAAAATAAAAAATTATTTCTGTTATAAGGAATCTATCAGCCTGGTGCCGTGGCTCATGCCTGTAATTCCAGCACTTTGGGAGGCTGAGGCAGGCGGATCACCTGAGGTCAGGAGTTGTAGACCAGCCTGACCAACATGGACAAACCTTGTCTCTACTAAATATGCAAAATTAGCCGGGTGTGGTAGTGCATGCCTGTAATCCCAGCTACTCAGGCGGCTGAGGCAGAATTGCTTGAACCCAGGAGGCAGAGGTTGTGGTGAGCCAAGATCATGCCATTGCACTCCAGCCTGGGCAACAAGAGCAAAACTCCAAGTCAAGGGAAAAAAAAAAGGAACCTACCAATTGTTTATTTCTGTAAGACAGCTAATCACACATGTTCCCTGTCTTTTCATTTAAAGACCATTTCTCCTCAAAGCTGAAGGAGACTTCAATGTGTGGGCCCTCTTTCTTATTTTAACAAGGAGTTATTTCATCTTTAATCTGACTTGGGAAACTACAAGGACAAAACTTTATACTCTCCTGTATCTTCTAAAATTTTGGAGTGATTTTGTAATTAAATACACTTCACATAATTATATTTCTGGATTTTTACCCTTCAAGTATTAGTCACTGTCCCAGCTCCTCCATCTTCCAGATGGTTGGAGCACAATTCTAAGACCAATTTAATATTAAATATATTCCATTAGATTATTTCTAAAACATTCCAATATTTAATAGTTTTTGAGATAGCCCGGCAAACCTAACTGCATTACCTCTTTATCTTTTAGTCCCAGGAGCAATACTTCTTCCATAAGAGTAAGGCGGATATCCTTAGAGTCTCCAGAATCTTCATTGTCTGGACTTTTCTCCCGATTACTGTCTTCCTCTCTTTCCAGCTTCTTTTCAGAGTTCTTGCTTACTTCAGTGCGACGGGCCCGGTGAGTTAAAGTGGTCATTCTCACCTGTTTCTGGAGGGAGTAGTTAAAAAAAAAAAATCTGTTTGTATGCTTATGGAAATAAATACATATATTCATACATGCATATTAAACATGTATACAAATAGGAAATATTTACAGCTTTAAATATAGAAAGAAAGGAAGGAGTAATGACCAGAAAAAATGGGTGGGTAATAATACAGCATCTTTCCCAAGGTCCAACAGCTGGGATTTCACAGATCGCACTGATAAAATATAAAATGAGTAATTCTAAAGTCCAGTATAAATAATCATCTTTTAAGTCTGCCGATTTCTTTTTTTCTTTTTTTTCTTCTAATTTTTTCCTCAAGAGGGAGTCTTGCGCTGTTGCCCAGGCTGGAGGGCAGTGGTGTGCTCTTGGCTCACTGCACCGTCTGCCTCCCGGTTCAAGTGGCTCTTGTCCCTCAGACTCCTGAGTAGTTGGGATTACAGGTGTGTGCCACACTTGGCTAATTTTGGTATGTTTAGTAGAGATGGGGTTAAACCATGCTGCTCAGGCGGGTCTTGAACTCCTGATCTCTAGTGATCTGCCTGCTTGGGCCTTCCAAAGTGCTAGGATTACATGCATGAGCCACAGGGCCTGGCCAAGCCTGGTGATTTCTTGTGCATCATCTATAAACAAGGAGTGAATGTCCACCATTGTCATTTCTCTTTCACAAAATGGATCCCAAGAAAGATGGAACAAGAAAAAATTGTGAGCATCCAACCCCAAAATGCATATAATATTTTACATTTACTTTCTATAAACATTCAATAGTACTACATTATAAAACATATACAAAAAAAAATCAAAAGCAAAAAAGAGCATGAAAACTAAATAGAGATACACGTTCTATATTTCCTTCCCATGCCCTAATGACTCATTTCAAATACTCGCCGAGGAGATCACAAGTCTAGAGGATAACATTCAGAAAACCATGTGCAGTAATTCCACAGTCAGTAAACTTAGCAGCTCTAGTCCTAGCTAGTCACATCTTGCCAATACACAAGGAGCTGCAAACAAATATTACTGGCAAGAGAGTGTTTAAAGATTAACAAATTCTTACTCAATTTTTTTTTTTTTTGAGAAGTTCACTCTGTCGCCCAGGCTGGAGAGCAGTGGCGTGATCTTGGCTCACCACAGCCTCTGCCTCCCTGGATCAAGTGATTCTCCCGCCTCAGCCTCCTGAATAGCTGGAATTACAGGCGCGTGCCACTATGCCCGGCTAATCAATTAAAAAAAAATCGAAGAATATGTCTTTTATTCTATGTACTACAGTCAAAAGAAACTGCATTAAATCATTTGTGATAAAGTTTATGATAGCATACTTTATTTTACATGAATCTACATCAGTTTTTAAAATATATACATCAAATATTTTAATTCAGCAATTATACAAAGGAATATCTTTTTTAAGATCAAAAGAATAGTATTTAAGAGTTGTTATGACTGGACTTGGTTCTACTCCTCTAGCAGTATTTCCCATTACTCCCAATCAGTAGTGGTGTCAAACTTTTTCTAAAAAATGTCTCATGCTTTCTTTCTGCCTCTGCTCTTCTGTACTCACTGGGGTCCTCTTCCTTTTCTCTTCCTCTCTACATTCTACCTATTCTTTTTTTTTTTTTTTTTTTGAGACGGAGTTTTGCTCTTGTTACCCAGGCTGGAGTGCAATGGCACGATCTCGGCTCACCGCAACCTCCGCTTCCTGGGTTCAGGCAATTCTCCTACCTCAGACTCCTGAGTAGCTGGGACTCACGAGTCCCATGCCCAGGCACACGCCACCATGCCCAGCTAATTTTTGTATTTTTAGTAGAGACGGGGTTTCACCACGTTGACCAGGATGGTCTCGATCTCTTGACCTTGTGATCCACGCGCCTCGGCCTCCCAAAGTGCAGGGATTACAGGCTTGAGCCACCGCGCCCGGCCCTATTCTACCTATTCTTTAAAGGCCTGTGGACCCACTGAGAAGCCTTAAGTGCCTTCCTGTTTTCTATTACCTATATGTCGCATGGCCACTCCCTCAGCTGTACTTTCACAGAACTTTATTTATACTTACTTCCTTTAAAGAATTTATTACAGCCTTTCTCTTGGTATGGCTGTCTCTCAACTGCAAACTTCTTGAGAACAGGGATATTGTCTTCTTGGGTTTTTATATTCTCCATAGCAACTAGCACAATGTCTTTAATGTTTTAACTGCTCGATAAATGTATACTGATTCAAATGAATACTCAGAAGTGCATATGAACATTTAAAATAAAAATACAAATGAAGTGAGCTACAAGTTTTTTTTTTTCGTACAAGGGTATATTTCAAATGTAATTTGTTATGGGAGGTGGGAAGAAGAGTGAAGGAGGAAGAGAACCATGAAACAAATGCTTAAGGGCACTAAGCCTATCTGGCACTGTGAATAGGGACTATTTCCTAAACAAATCCAAGAAACTTTAAACCTTCTAGGGGCGGGGGTGGGAAACAAAGGGGAGTTTTCTTTAAGAAATTAATTTTCCCTGGACAATTATTAGTTGAAAATCCTACTTGAAAGAAAAAAAAAAAAAAACAAAAGACGGCCCCAAATGAATAAAAATCCCTCCCTCCCCATAACATAATAATTTTAAAAATTAGAGGTTTTTTGGGGGGAGGGGTGGGGAAGGGACGTTAGGAAATGTAATTTTCTCGTTGCTTACCTGATGTTACTTCTGGGTTATGGCTGGACGCAGGCTGTAGCTTGTGCTGTATTTTAGGAGGACACCTGTTCCCCCCACCCCACCCCCGTCCTAGTAGGTGAAAAACTTAGCCACGCAGAGAGCACAAACTTCCTGATCCTTCGATGCAGAGAAGGAATAACACATCAGCTTCCTCGGGATCGCTAGGCAACCTACCTTGGTGTTTCTTCATTAGGCCAATCAGAAATCACCAAGGTTGAGTCCCACCAATCGGAGCTCATAGGGGGAGGCTCTCCCCCAGCTATTCTGTTGCGATCCAGACAAACACCACCAAAGGGAGGCAGGTTTGCGTTCAACCTGACAGCTGGTCAATCCAATGAAGGAACCTTGGTGGAAGAGAGGAAAGAGGGCTGCGCTCCCCACCCCCATTAAACCGGCCAATCAAAGCGCTGAGTGAGCTAACAAGGGCTGCCAATCTCGAAAGGTTTCTGTCGGTCAATTTCAGTATAGCAGGTGTGTCGCTGTAGTAGCGTATACTGGGACAATTAAGTGAGATGTGTTGGGATCCAAGCAATACAGCTAAGAATAAATAAATATTTTTACATTGGTTGTTTCTGACAGTTTATTCTTGACTATTCCAAAAAAACATGATCTGGGTCAGTGTATGGACGTTTATATGGTTTACCTTAAACAGGATGAATACATTTCTACCACCGCATACCTACCAGCATTCTCTATAACGCTTACTACTGACAAACCCATGGATAGTGTATGTTTTTGGAATATGGCTGCTGAAACTACAAGAGACAAACAGATCTTTTTTTTTTTTTTTGAGACGGAGTCTTGCTCTGTCGCCAGGCTGGAGTGCAGTGACGTGATCTCGGCTCACTGCAACCTCCACCTCCCAGGTTCAAGCGATTCTCCTACCTCAGCCTCCCGAGTAGCTAGACTACAGGCGCGCGCCACCCACCCAGATAATTTTTGTATTTTTTTGTCGAGACAAGGAGGTTTCACCACGTTGGCCAAGATGGTCTCGATTTCTTGACCTCGTGATCCGCCCACATCGGCCTCCCAAAGTACTGGGATAACAAGCGTGAGCCACCTTGCCCGGCCCAAACAGACCAGGTTTTAATTTTAAGTCCTCCTTTTCTAAAGCAAAGAAAGCAGGCAAGTCTGGAACTAGCTACCAGGCTTCTCATGAAAAGTCCAGCAGTTTTCTTCATATTACCACTCAAAAATTCTAGAAAGTGTGCTCAACTCTTGCAAAGTAATAGCTACTGAAATCATCTAAAAATTAGTATTCCCTATCCCCCCATCCTCCTACCAGCCTTTCAAATTAATGGAGTCATATTTCCTGCTAATTAAATAAAAATTAGAAGCAATGAAAGGGCTTACACACTAAACAGTATTTATGCTACAAAAAATGCCATACTTTAAAAATCAGTCATCTTTTTGTCCTGTTAAAAAAAAGATTTAAAAAAGATAAAGCACCAATTTAAAATTGTACATTATATATTATAATGTTAATACATTATATCAAAATATTGAAGAACATTGTTTTAATAACACCATGACAAAAGAGTTAGTTAAATGGTATAATTTTAACATAAGTAAAAAGTGAATCCATACCAAATCTTAATACCAAAGTAAGCATTACTTGTTTAGAAAAATGATTAGAGGGCCTTAACAGTCAGTATATATTTAAAGAAAATATTAAGCAGATAATGAACAAAATCAATTTTTAAATTTTACTTATTACAGAATCAATTATGACATTCGTACTTTTGCTTTTATTCAAAAGTTCTGTTGGATTTATCTCAACAGATTAAGATTAAGGACCACAATATGATAGTCAAGAACTTAATTTTAGTGTACAAACTGCTTTAAACTACATATACGTTTTCAGAGTTAGGGAAATATAATATAGTATCCTTCAGTTTAAATGTTGAGAAGAACTTTGCAAACATACAGAAGAAAAACAATTTTTATATATGTTCCTTTGGTTCACTAAACTTCCTCCTTTTTGATACTGACTCTTGACTAGAATCAAAGTGATGGAGGACCTGTCAAAAGAAAACAATTATTAATAATAGATACTGTCCTGTTTAAATGTCTTTTAGATTTTTTCATGTATCTGAGATTTCTTTCCTTTTTTAAAAAAATTATGCCTAGCATACCTAGCATAACTATTTCCTACTATGATAGGATATCTGGGTTTCTTAAAAGTAGAGTAAAATTGGCAGGGCACAGTGGCTCACGCCTGTAATCCCAGCACTTTGGGAGGCCGAGGCAGGTGGATCACCTGAGGTTGGGAGTTCAAGACCAGCCTGACTAACATGGAGAGACCTAGTCTCTACTAAAAAAAATAACAAAATTAGTCAGGCGTGGTGGCGCACGCCTGTAATCCCAGCTACTTGGGAGGCTGAGGCAGGAGAATCTCATGGCAACCTCGACTCAGGAGGTCAAGGTTGCCATGAGCCAAGATCCCGCCACTACACTCCAGCCTGGGTGACAAGAGCAAAACTCTGTCTCAAAAAAAAAAAAAAAAGTAGAGTAAAATTTATTAATATCTTCCAATGGCTTCTGAAGTATATACTTGCAAAACGTATGATCTTCAATAGGATTACTGTAGTAGTGAGAGGATAGATTTAACATTATGTCCTCAAAATAGCCAAATATTTCATAGCAATAAGAAGGGAAAAAAAGATTTAAAAATAAACTACAAATAGACAAACATTCTACCTTGAAATCATGTAAGATTTAATTTATGTCTTGCTTTTGTACTCTTGGGATGTTAACATTTGATTTTTAAAAATAGTCTTAAGTTTTCAGTTGTTTAATTTTAACCTACTAATAATACTAAAATATCTAGTTAGAAAAATATGAATAATTAACTCAGAAATGACAAATACATTATTTGATTTGGTAAAATAAGGTTCTAAATATGAAACAACTATACAGTTTAGGTCAGGAAAAATTTTCTTTCTCCAGAGGTACTAGAAGGAGACCATATATTTTTAAAGAACACATGGATTTAGTAACTTATCCTCCTTCTACTTTAGTTTTGGTCTCTAGAAAGCTCAGATCAAATTTGTGGCCCAATTTCAGTTCTATGGAAACAAAATGGCCATAATATTCTTGTTCTGTCACTTTCTCATTCTACTTATATTTTTCCTGACACTGATTTTTAATTTATATTATAGTTCCTCCAATTACTTTAAATCATTCATGGAATGAGACCAGAGATGTTTCATGGAAAAAACTAGTAAACCAACATACTGCATCTTATTTCAAAATCAGCTCGATTTTTAGAACAAAATATATTTAAACAAAATTTGAATATCAGAGCTCTCTGGTAAATTGAGGGATATAAAATTCATCATTTGAATTTAATCTATAAATGATATTCTGATACTTGCCATTGTATTCAAACTATAAATTATCATAAGACTTACTATTCTCCCAGATTCATGGTGACTTCTCTTCCGATTTTCTCTGGAAGATTTTACTGGTGGATTTCCATTTGCCTCCACAAAGATAGAATAATTACTAGTTGGTTATTTCTCAAAGAACAGCCAATACTTTGCTTTTTCAATCTTATGGAACAATATGCAATATTTATATATTTATTTACTTTTTAGAGAGAGGGTCTCTCTCCCTCTGTCACCCAGGCTGGAATGCAGTGGCACAATCATGGCTCACTGCAGCCTGAAACTTCTGGTTTCAAGTGATCCTCCTGCCTCAGCCTGCCAAAGTGCTGGGATTATAGGAGTGAGCCACAGTGCCCAGTTTGACATATTTTTTTTTAAAAACAGCTTTATTGAGATATAATTTAGATACTATATGATTCACCCATTTATAAGTATACAATTCAATGATTTTCAGTACATTCTCAGAGTTGTATAACCATCACCACAATCAATTTTAGATCACTTTCATCACCCTAAAAAGAAATCCCATTTCCCTTAGCTATCACTCTCTTATTCTGACATCCTCCCATGAGCCTCCAGGCTGTCTCAATAACTTTCCCGGTTCTGACTTTCAAATGAATGGAATAATATGTGAACTTTTGTGAGTAACTTCCTTTAATTAGCATATTTCCAAGGCTCATCCAAGTTGTAGCACATATTGGCACTCCATTCTTTTTTATGGCTGATATTCAATTGTATGAATACACCACATTATTAATCCATTCATCTGTTGATGTATATTTAAGTTTTTCCCATCTTTTGGCTACTGTGAATAATGCTGTATATACAGTTATTAAAATGAATATTGGAAATGACAAATGATTAGGTGTCATATAACTATTCTCTAAAAGGACATACTTCTTTTCTAATGTTTGAAATGTTCTTTCCAATGATAATTCCTTAGTATATATAATAATGAACATTTTGATTGCTTGCCCTTTTGTAACCACAATTCAGTAATAATTCTCAAAATCAGGAGTACACTGGCTCAGTGTTCATGTCCAAAAGTGTGTGCAATTTCAGAAATACATTTATGTCCTCAAAGCATCTTAATGTTACATTACAAGGAAATCTTGCTTAATAATTTTTAAAAAATGCTGGTCTCTATCCCTATATCCTAGCAAAGGTTATTCATCCAAATAGGAACTGGCTAGGATGAATATTTTGCTTCTATAAGTAGTACATCTTGACATTCCTTTATCTCTTGCTTTCATGAGCATACTCATTTGAATGCTGTCTTCTGCCAGTTCTAACTTCCCATTGAGAAAAGGGGTGGGGGAAGACACCTAAAAATGGCACTATAATGAGTAGTGTTCTGATAAATGTTTAATAACCAGCTCTATGAGAGAAACAACCCCTGAGGCATTTGCTGATTTCCGTGCTGTGAATACTACCAATATGTCCAATTTAAGCTACCAACATGACATCTCTGAGTGAGGAGTTGGAAAGAAATGTTCTAACACACCACTAACAGAGTGAGCTATTTCTTTCCTAAACTTTGGATAATTTTATATATTTTACAGAATGCTTTTTCTTCACCCCTGATGAACCTTTGAGAGTAACTTAAAGTCTAAAATAAAATATGAATTTTGATTTAGTATAATTCATACCAAAAGCTAAAATAAAGCAGTGATTTTTTTCCCTTAAGAACATGAGATTCATTTTATACAAGATATATGCAAAAGATTAATTAGTAATATCTTATTAGCAAGATACTCAGTTTATAAGATCGAGCATGGTGCTTACTTTGGCAGCAAATATGAAAACAATATAGATATGCAAAAGATTAATTTGTAATATCTTATTAACAAGATACTCAATTTATAAGATTGAGCCTGGTGCTCACTTTGGCAGCAAATATACTAAAATTAGAACAATATAGAGAAGATCAGCATGGCCCCTGTCTAAGGATGACATGCAAATTCGTGAAGCATTCCATATTTTTCAGAGTGAACAGACAACCTACAGAATGGGAGAACATTTTTGCAATCTATCCATCTGACAAAAGTCTAATATCTAGAATCTACAAGGAACATAAAAAATTTACAAGAAAAAACAACTCCATTAAAAAGTGGGCAAAGGACATGAACAGACACTTCTCAAAAGAAGACATTTATGTGGCCAATAAACCTGAAGAACACTCAACATCACTGGTTATCAGAAAAATGCAAATCAAAACCACAATGAGATACCATCTCATGCCAGTCAGAATGGTGATTAAAAAGTCAAGAAACAACAGATACTGGTGAGGCTGTGGAGAAATAGGAACACTTTTACACTGTTGGTGGGAATGCAAATTAGTTTAACCATTGTGAAAAATGGTGTGGTGATTCCTTGAAGACCTAGAACCAGAGATACCATTTGACCCAGCAATCCCATTATCAGGTATATCCCCAAAGGAATATAAATCATTCTATTATAAAGATACGTGCATGCTGACTGGGCATGGTGGCTCACGCCTGTTATCCCAGCACTTTGGGAGGCCAAGGTGGGTGGATCACCTGAAATCAGGAGTTCGAGACCAGCCTGGCCAACATGATGAAACCCCGTCTCTACCAAAAATACCAAAAATTAGCTGGGTGTAATGGTGGCCGCCTGAAATCCCAACTACTCAGGAGGCTGAGACTGGAGAATCACTTGAATCTGGGAGGCAAAGGTTGCAGTGAGCTGAGATTGCTCCCTTGCACTCCAACCTGGGCAATAAGAGCAAAACTCCGTCTCAAAAAAAAAAAAAGATACATGCATACGTATGTTCATTGCAGCACTATTCACAATAGCAAAGACATAGAATCAACACACATGCTCATCAATGATAGACTGGATAAAGAAAATACGGAGCCATAAAAAGGAACGAGATCATGTCCTTTGAAGGGACATGGATGGAGCTGGAAGCCATTATTCTCAGCAAACTAACACAGGAATAGAAAACCAAACACTACATGTTCTTGCTTATAAGTGGGAGCTGAACAATGAGAACACAGGGACACAAAGAAGGGAACAATACACACTAGGTCAGGGGGCCGGGGGTAGGGAGAGCATTAAGATAAATAGCTAATGCATGTGGGGCTTACTACCTGGGTGGTGGGTTGATAGGTGTGGCGAACCACTATGGCACACATTTATCTATGTAACAAACCTGCACATCCTGCACATGTATCTTGGAACTTAAATGAAATTTTAAAAAGAAAAAAAAGAGATTGAGCATGGGAACATTCTGGCATTCCAGGAAATTTCTCTGGGAGCCTGGATGATAGTATCACTTCTTCCCAAAGGCTTTTCTGGATCCCTCCCTTTAATATACCTTCAGTAAAATTAACCATTCCTTTCTTCGTGCCTGCCTATGTAGTCTATTCAGACTTCTATAGTGGCCCTATATCATCGCTTGTTTATTTCTAGTTACTGAACTTTAGCCAAGACCAAGAAGTGTATGTTATTCAGGTTATATCCCAAGCACCTAATAAAGTACCTGATACATAATAGGTACTTAGTAAATATTGGTCTAATAAATGAAATATTCAAATAAACTCACATATAGAGGAGAATTACAAGGATAGAATGGAAAACAAACCTAAAGAGATATTTACCATTTTATTCTGAAAGACTTTTCCACTTCTCGTTTTGCCTTCAGACATATCAAGTTCAGATGTTTTATTGACTAACTGCTCAACCTAAAAAAGAAAATAATTACACAGAATATAACTTAATAAAACCTTTTTATAACACAATAAATGGGGTCCAAAAATTTAATCACATAAAATTTAGGGTCTTGTTAAGTTAAAACCAATAATTTTGCGTTGGTTCATACTGTCACCAAAAGAACAAAAGTAAAGATAGTGAAACTGACAATTTACACAATTGGCCAATCGCTGAACTGAGAAAGTCCCAAATGATCACCAGGCATTACCCTTCCAGAAGACAAGAAGTTTAGTCTACTCATTTGAGAAATAGGCTGGGCAGGGGAAGGTAGACAATCAATCATTAATCATATTATTTCCAAGTTCATATTACCTAAATCTATTATTTCAGGATTTTACTGTATTTGAAAAGCAAAATAAAACACGTTATGCTCAAGCAAAAGTGAGGTGGAACTATCGAGTTTGTACCTGAGAATGAGAAATGGAAAGATCTGAACTTTGTTTAGACCTCATAATTTCATCTTCCTCACAAACTAAACTTGGTTCTGTAAAAAAAAAAAAAAAAAAAAAGTTAAGCAGGTATAGATTTGGAAGTGAGTTAATCTATATTTTCATTAACTTCTTACCTCCAAGTTCAGACGATCCAGGGACTTTTTCCTGCTCTTCCATTTTAGTTTCAGTGTCCAAATCATCCTACATAATTATGAAGAAAAAAATGGACACATTTCAAGAAGAAATAAAAATAACTGAGCAGAAAACATTCATGAACTAATTTATTTTATGTGAAGGCTAAATACAATATAAAACTACTGGCCGGGCATGGTGGCTAATGCTTGTATTCCCAGCTCTTTGGGAGGACATGGAGGGAGGATTGCTCAAGCCTAGTAGTTCCAGATTAGCCTGGGCAACATGATGAGACCTCGTCTCCACAAAAAATTTTTAAAAATTACCCGGCTGTAGTAGCATGTGTCTGTGGTCCCAGATATTTGGGAGGCTGAGGTGAGAGGATCACTGGAGCCTAGAAGTTTGAGGCTACAGTAGCCTTGATCATCCCTCTGCACTCCAGCCTGGAGACAAGACTCTGCCTCAAAAACAAACAAAAAAACCCAGGCCCAGCGCAGTGGCTCGCATCTGTAATACCAGCACTTTGGGAGGCTGAGGCAGGCAGATCACTTGAAGGAGTTGGAGACCAGCCTGGCTAACATGGTGAAATCCTGCCTCTACTAAAGATACAAAAATTAGCCAGGCATGGTGGCATACGCTTGTAATCCCAGCTACCCAGGAGGCTGAGGCAGGAGAATACCTTGAACCCAGGAGGTGGAGGTTGCAGTGAGCTGAGATTGTGCCAGTGCATCCCAGCTTGGGTAATAGAGCAAGACTCTGTCTCAAAAAACAAAGCAAACAAACCCAAAAACCTACAACTGCCTTATGCTTGCTAGAAATAAAGTGGTCCTAGAGTTACTATCGAAAGGCAACTTATTAATCCAAAGAAATACCATTTTTCTTTACTTTGCAGGGTTGTTTTAAGGACAAATGATAAAAACATATAACTTTTGGCTTGGCAAGGTGGGTCATGCCTGTAATCCCAAGACTTTGGGAGGCTGAGGCAGGTGGATCACTTGAGGTCGGGAGTTCAAGACCAGCCTGACCAACATGGAGAAACCCCGTCTCTACTAAAAATAGAAAATTAGTCAGGTGTGCTGGTGCATGCCTGTAATCCCAGCTACTCAGGAGGCTGAGGCAGGAGAATTGCTTGAACCCAGGAGGTGGAGGTTGTGGTGAGCTGAGATGGTGTCATTGCACTCCAGCCTGGGCAACAAGAAAATACACACACACACACACACACACACACACACACACACACAACTTTCTCTAAAATGTATGATGATTCTAAGGTCTTAACACTCTTTGAGTGCACTGAATTAGACATGTTCACACAACAAACTACCGCTTCTATATAGCTCTGGAATTTCCATACAAATGTTTGCATACACTCTAAATATGCCCTAGCTCTCTTCAGAGAGTTATTGAAGTGTAAGCTCAGTCATGCTATCATAGAAATAGCAACAGGTTTAATGTTTACATTATAATCATTGTTCCCTTTGTGGTACATGTGAAAGATTTAAATATTTTAAAGATTGCTACAAACACCCCAGCCACATTTGTTATAAAGCAAGACTGAGATTTAGGTCTTAGAAAAAAGTTTTCTTCTTTGACTGAATTGGTTGAAAATTTATTGAATTTTCCATGTGGTCATGGAGCCTAATCAGAATAGTAAATCTCTTTACATAAGTACTGTATCCATAATTTAGAATAAATTGAGACAGAGAAAACAAGAGAAGTGAGAGTGAGATTAAAGGACATCGTGTTAATGCTGGAAAGATTAAAGCAACTATGACTTACACATTTGCTGGAAGTGAGGCAACCAAAAAACCCTTTTATACTACTATTCATCCATTCACTCAATGAGTACTTAGGATGCACTGATTACAAATCCAAGTGCTAGGCACAGGATGATGACAAAACTGAATAAGACACTTTTCCTGACTTCAGGCACTTCCAGGCTGCTTCAGAACAGTGACTTTCCAGGCTCTGGAGAAATTCAAGCACAGGCTACCTGAACACTTAGTAGGGATGTCGTAGAAAAGATTCCAGCATTAGCTGGGGGTTGGACTAGTGCAATGTTTTTGAAATTATGCCCTAGAGTCCTAGGGGTTTGCTCAGAGTCCACTATGAAGGTAAGTGATGTAGAGAGTGGCAGGGCCTCCAGGACCATCCCTGCTTCAACCAGAATAGTTGTGCTTTTAAGTTCTAGTATCATGATGTTTGGACTAAGTAAAAAGTTTTAAAACTATAGGCCCAGACTTAAGGTCCCTTCCAACCTTGAGTTTATGATTATAACATAGAATTTACGCAAATGTTAATGGGAGCTATGAAAATCTTCAGAATTGAGTCAAACATTTGTTATTATTGTTCTTTGTAACTCTTTAAATACACTTACATTTCTATAATGCTCCTGTTCATCTTCTACATCTTTGTCTCTCAGGATTTTTGGAAATGGTGTTTTTATTTGTTTTGGTGATAGTATACTTGAATCAACATTTTCCATTCTTTCTCTCTCGGTGGTCACTTTTACTTTGAAGGTGTGAAAAGGTGTTGAGACTTCTCCCACATTTAAATACATAGGCTCCCCTTCAAATATAACTCCTTCACAATCACCATCCTTAAAACCAGGAGGCTGATAATCTGGGGGTGTAACTGCAAAAAAGTAAGTGTAAACTGCGCTGTTCGTGAAATTAAAGAAAATATTAGTATTATTGTAAAAACACATGTGATTGCAGATATTTCAAACAGTAGAGAAGAGCATAGGCCAGGCGTGGTGGCTCACGTCTGTAATCCCAGCACTTTGGGAGGCCGAGGCGGGCAGATCACCTGAGGTTGGGTGTTTGAGACCAGCCTGACCAACATAGAGAAACCCTGTCTATACTAATATAAAAAATTAGCCGGGCATGGTAGCACATGCCTGTAATCCCAGTTTGAACCCGAAAGTCAGAAGTTGCGGTGAGCCGAGATCATGCCATTGCACTCTAATCTGGGCAACAAGAATGAAACTCCGTCTCAAAAAAAAAAAGAGAAGGGCGTAAGCTAAAACATAAGAATCACTCTCTTACTGTGTCCAAGTCCCCATTTTATTCTCTAAAGATAAGTTTGTTTTTTTCACTTGACTGTCTGTGACCTTGAGTAAATTATTTATCATCCCTGATTTAATTTTCTCATCTGTCAAATGGGGAAAATAATAGTACCTACTTCATAGGGTCATTGTGGGAATTAAATGAAGTACAAAATGTTGAGAACAGAATTGGCACATAGTAAATAATAAATGTTAGTTGTTATTTTGTTGCTTTATGTTCTTCTAGAAGATGTCCATATTATAAAAGATATTTCATATTTACATAGGTTTTAGGATATATATATATATATATAAAATTCCTTAAAAACACAAATGAGATCATACTGTTCTATATCTAGCTGGTTTTAATTTAATAACATATGTTGGATGACGTAATTTATCAGCACCTTCTTTTTAACAGCTTGTGTAGTATTCTATTATGCAAATGGACCAAAATTTATCTGGTCCTCAATGAAGAACACTCAAGTTGTTTCCAGTTTGTTAATATATTAGCCGATGCTATCAAAATCCTTCTATAACCTTGCATATTTGCACAATTATGTTCTCAATATATTTTTCTCACTGTAGAATTTCTGGATTAAGGATAATGTGCCTTTAAAATTTTGATACTACCAAATTGCCCTCTAAAAATGTTGAACCTGTATACAGTCCCTCAAGAATATAAAAGTGCTTGGTTGGCCAGGTGCGGTAGCTCACGCCTGGGAGGCTGAGGCAGGTGGATCACTTAAGGTCAAGGAGTTCGAGACTAGCCTGGCCAACACGGTGAAACCCCATCTCTACTAAAAATACAAAAATTAGCTGGACTTGGTGGTGCGCGCCTGTAGTCTCAGCTACCCAGAAGGCTGAGGCACAAGAATCGCTTGAACCCAGGAGGTAGAGGTTGCAGTGAGCTGAGATTGTGCCACTGCACTCCAGACTGGGAGACAGAGCAAGACTCTGTCTCACACACACAAAAAAGTTACTGTTTCCCCACATCTTTGTCAATAATGGGTTAACAAGTTTTATCAATCTGACAAGTGAAAACTGATAACTCATTGTTAAGTTTCTTTAACTGAGTGAGGTTATACTTCACATGGATATGTTCTTATCACTAGAGAAGCATCTATTTTAAAGCTTATTTTTGGCCGGTTGAGGTGGCTCATGCCTGTAATCCCAACACTTTGGGAGACCAAGGTGGGTGGATCTCTTGAGGTCAGGAGTTTGAGACCAGCCTGGCCAACACAGTGAAACCGCATCTCTACTAAAAATACAAAATAGCCAGCTGTGGTGGTGCACACCTGTAATCCCAGCTACTGGGGAAGGTGAGGCAGGAGAATCACTTGAAACCAGGAAGGGGAGGTTGCAGTGAGCTGAGATTGTGCCACTGTACTCCAGCCTGAGTGACAGAACAAGATTCTGTCTCAAAAATACAAACAAACAAAAAGATGATTTTTGCAAATCTTTCTTTTTTGAATAATGATATTAAATGTAAATTTTATAATTTCAAAAACTTTAGGCCAAGCGCAGTGGCTCACGCCTGTAATCTCAGCACTTTGGGAGGCTGAGGCGGGCGGATCATGACGTCAGGAAATCGAAATCATCCTGGCCAACATGGTGAAACCCTGTCTGTACTAAAAATACAAAAATTATCTGGATGTGGTGGTGCACGCCTGTAGCCCCAGCTACTCAGGAAGCCGAGGCAGGAGAATCGCTTGAATTTGGGAGGAGGAGGTTGCAGTGAGCTGAGATTGCACCACCGCATTCCAGCCTGCTAACAGAGCAAGACTCCATCTCAAAAAAAAAAAAAAAAAAAAAAATTTAGGTGCTAAAAATATTTGGAATGGAAACCAATTGTTTCAGTAATAATAAAACATAGGTACCAACTGAAACAGGATGTATTGCAAATAGTACCTTCATCGTAGTAAAAAAGTTTCATGGTCAAACAAACATCATTAGGTAAAGGCCCCAGATTTTGCATTAGGACATAAATCTTGCGAATGAGGAGAATGCTTGCTTTCTTGGTGTCAGTAGATGACATGCTAGATCTGCTGCTTTGGTTTTTACTAGAAAAGAATCACATAATTAATTTCTTCTATAAAACCTGTGGCTTCTAATATCACAACTGTATATTTTAACTATTTGAGATTATTTCTATTATAGCATTAAGTTAACCTGAAAGTTACATGGGTTTTAATGTCACTATTATACAATTTTAATATTGATTAATATGATTGCAAGAAATCAATAATTTTACTTAAAGTGCATTTTATATAAAGTATTTAAAGGATGCAAATGATGTTTTAAGATTATATTTCTAATCACCTAAGTTCTCTTTCTGCAATTAAAATTGCATATGATAAGCCACAGAATCCTGGCTTGAAGCTACTCCAAGCCACCACTCCATTTTGCACAGCCACATCTTAATGGTTAGTTGGGGATGTCCCCACAGTTTCAGAATGAATACTGAAGTTTAGCTGTATAGCATAATATGAATAAGTGATAATCTATAATACAAAAAGAAAACTATAGAACAATACCTTACGAAGTCCATGAGTGGTCCATTATTGGTGTATTTGAATTTGAATTGGTAACATTCTGAAATTGTCTTAAATAGAAAATATTGCAGTTATGCTTCTGATATTCAGTACTGGCTGCTAAATAGCTATATTCTGTTTTTGTATGACTCAGCATTTAGTCAATACTTTTTCTGCCATATTAATCCCTATTGGTCCATTGAAGCTTTTGATTCCTCATAGTCAGTTCTCATGGTTTGAGATTTGGAGCTTCAGGCTTGGAGAGACATTTACTTCCCAACTCATTGTAATGTATGTTATTTATACTACATGGAAGGAACTCCTTAGCAGGCAGATAAGGGAGGCAGCATACCTCAGCAGAGTGGCTAGCACAGGGCTTAAATCTTTGCTATACTGTAACCACAGGCAAGCCACTTAAGCATTTTAAGTTTTAGTTTCCCCAGCTGAAGAAGGGATGGAAGACAGTACATATCTCATTGGTAGTTGTGAATTAATATTCACAAATGGGATAATTTATACAGGGTACTTAATAAAGTATCGGACATATGGTAAACATTCAATAAATGGTATTAGTTATCAATAAGGTTGCTGATTTACTGATAGAAAAAAGGCACAATTAAAAAACATATGAAAATAAATGAACATTTTCTAAACAATCGATCAGTTTTCTGAACAATCTATCAATTCACAGCCTTTACCCAAATGATCTGCTTTGTCAGCATGAACACATGCTAAGCATTAATTGCAGGTGTGAGTATCAAAGACAAGACAAATTCTCAACCCTCCTGAAGCTTGAATTTGCTTTCTTTATATTTCATTGCTTACACAGTGATTTTTTTTTTAAGATGAAGTTTTGTTCTTGTTGCCCAGGCTGGAGTACAATAGTTTGATCTCGACTCACCACAGCCTCCACCTCCTGGGTTCAAGTGATTCTCCAGCCTCAGCCTCCTGAGCAGCTGGAAATACAGGCATGCACCACCAGGCCTGGCTAATTTTTTTTTTTTTTTAACTAGAGATGGGGTTTCTCCACATTGGTCAGGCTGGTGTCGAACTTCCAACCTCAAAGGATCCACCTGCCTCAGCCTCCCAAAGTGCTGGGATTACAGGCGTGAGCCACTGCACCGGGCCCACAGTGATGTTTTTAAACATCTTTTTTAAACACCAGTTTAAATCAATCTCTCCTTGACTGAATGAAATATTATATTTTATAGCTATAGCATAATGGGTAAACATCCAAATTGTGAATGGGCCTTCCTAGGTTCGAAACCTGGTTCTGCCACTGTAACCTTAGGCAAGAAACCCCTTCTACCTAGATTTCCTAATCTGTAAAGTGGAGATGCTAATAATGATTACCTGATGAAGGTTGGGATAAATAAATGAGATAATGCACATAAAGTCCCAAAGAACAGAGCCTAATATAGAGTAAGCACTCAATAGATCTTTCCCGTTTCTATTTTCCCTTTCATGTTCTCCCTGCTTTCTCATTCAATTGTAAAATAAATAGGTGGCTATCACTGGATTGGGAAGAATACTCTAAGTTTAAGGATGACTTTCTTACTTTCCTAAAACTCAAGCCCTTTCATAATTCTAAAATACAGTATAAAAAATACTGTAAAATGGCTGGGCATGGTGGTTCATACCTGTAATCCCAGCACTTTGGGAGGCCGAGGCGGGTGGATCACTTGAGGTCAGGAGTTCAAGACCAGCCTGGCCAACATGGTGAAACCCCATTTCTTAAAAAAAAAAAAATTAGATGTCAGGAGATTTAAGTTATTTCTAACAGTTTGTAAGCTTTGTGGCCTAAGATCAGTCACATAATCTCTGTCATGTTAATCTGTTTAAAGGCAGCAATACAAGCCCTGCCTTGCTTTAGAAGAGTTTTATGAAGCTCAAATGTGAAAATATATATGAAAGTACATTTATTAAAGCACAATGAAAGCATAAGATATTCTTATATAATAGTTTTATGTTATTTTTAGATATTAGAGGCATTATGTTTCTTTAGTAACTCAAGTACACTTACCTGAGGATCTTCTGGGTTTGTGTATACCTATTTAAAAACAATTTACAATTGAGTTATCTAAGGCTAAGTATTCAAGAACTAGATTGGATGTTTAGACTAAACATTGTATGAACTCAGCAGAACAAACAAATAAAAATGACCCCCAAAATATTACTTTTCTGCTCCATTGAATAGATCAGTTATTTGAATAATGTGATATAATCAATTGATAGTTTTAGTGTCATTTTATTAAGCAAGGCCAAATTTGACCGTTATTAAAAAAAGAACACACAATTAAAAAATACTTACAGCTAGAACAACCATCCTTAGCTGAAATACAACAAAGAACAAAAATCTTACTTGTAGTCTATAAAATATTTTTTCATGATGAATCATAAGAATTCTTTGTCCTATTTCGACTTGTATTCCTAATAACGAATAATCATTGCAGATCTTGACTTCATAAGATCAATGCCTATAAGGCAGTAAGTACCTTAGGTATGCTTTCCTACTCCCCAAAATATCTATTGCTACTAAAATCACTGATGGTTGAAATTCATGTCAGCACTTTATTTCATTGACTTAAGCAAAAAGGACATTACTTCTAGTTACAAGAAAAATATATATTGTGAAATAACACAATATATGTGTTATATTGAAAACAGTGATAATGGATTAAAAAAAAGAAAAAGCAGAGAGTTCAGGGCCCTACGAATTTAACAAAGGGAGGAAGTTTTGGAGACCATAGGAAAAGAAAATCATAGAAAATAATTTAATCAAGCCATTTGCCAAAAATCTGAGTCATCTTTGATTTTGATCTTTTCCTTATATTACACAGCCAGTACATCAACAAATCCAATTCGTTCTACTGCCAAGTCTATCCTGAATCTCCTCTCTCTGCTATCCTGGTCTGAGCAACCATTATTTCTCACCAGTACTATAGTAATGGCCTAGGATCAGCCGGGCGCCCTGGCTTCTGCCTGTAATCCCAGCACTTTGGGAGGCTGAGGCTGGCGGATCACGAGGTCAGGAGTTTGAGACAAGTCTGGCCAACACGGTGAAACCCTGTCTCAACTAAAAATACAAAAAATTAGCTGGGTGTGGTGGTGTGCGCCTGTAATCCCAGCTACTCAGGAGGCTGAGGCGGGAGAATCGCATGAACCCAGGAGTCGGAGGTTGCAGCGAGCAGAGATTGTAGCATTGCACTCCAGCCTGGGCAAGAGTATGAGACTCCGTCTCAAAAAAAAAAAAAAAAAAAAAGTCATGGCCTATGATATGTTCTCCTTATTCCCAATCTTATTCTCCCTCTACAGCATATTCTTTAAATCATGGGCAGAGAAATTTAAAACAATTTTTTTTAAAGACAATATCTCTCTGTCACTCAGGCTGTAGCGCAGTGGCACAATCTTGGCTTTTTGCAACCTCTGCCTCCTGGGTTCAAGCGATTCACCTGCCTTAGCCTTCTGAGTAGCTGGGATTATAGGTGCAACCACGCCTGGCTCATTTTTGTACGTTTAGTAGAGATGAGGTTTCACCATGTTGGCCAGCCTGGTCTCAAACTCCTGACCTCAGGTGATCCACTCACCTCGGCCTCCCAAGGTGCTGGGATTACAAGTGTGAGCCACTGTGCCTGGCCTAAAACAATTTTTAAATGTAAATCGAATATTACATTTCTGCTTATAAGGTTTGAATGGCTTTTCTTTGCACCTAAAATAAAATCCAGTGAATGCTCTGGCCCTACTTATCTGCCTAGGCTCAGCTCATGTTATTTTCTCCCACTGCACAACTGCACTCCAGTCATATTGGCCTTCGTTTTGTTCCTGGAACTCTCTAAACTTCCTTCCAATTCTTTGCATTTGCTGCTCTGCCAGGAACATTCTTTCCCAAAGTCAATGCCTGGCTGGTTTCTTCTCATTCGGGTCTCTTAAATGTCACTTCCTCAGGGAAGCTCCTTTGACCTTCCCATCTAAAGTTACCCTACCTCTCCATTTATCACATACTTCTGCTAAACATTTTAACGGCATTTAACATGATTGGAAAGTATATGACTTACTTGTTTTATTAACTACTTGTTTTCCTACTATAGAAGGGACCCTCTTTGTTTTGTTGATCACCGTTAGCTTACCCGGTTCCTACCTAGAATGGATGCCTAGCACGTAACAGGCACTAGATATTTACCATGCCTTAAAGGTGAAGGTTAAGGACCGTGAATAAAAATTCATCTTCTTCACAATTAGCCTAGTGCTGGACTTCATTATACATGTTGATACTAAATTATGCTAAGTATGCAAAAACGCTTATAATCTATCTTAAAACCTTCTTAATTTTGCTAACTCAGAACTTGTGACAGTTTAACTTAGATTATGTGGAAATTCATTTTTAATTCATTATTAAATTATTAGTATAAACAAACTTGTAGAAGGCATGTGAAACTAATGAATAAACTACATGAAAACTCTTTAATTCATTAATTTTTTATAAGTTAACATGTGTTATTAATATAAATAAGTGTTAAAAAAACAAAACTAGCTTGGAAAAATTTGTTTAGCATTAATTCCATTAGCTTTAAATGAGTTAACTATTAGTCTTCAAAATACTCAAATGTTTAGGCTTTTCACTAACTCAGACCACCTACACTCAAGTTAGTTTAAATAAATGTTTTACTACATAATTCCAGTTAGATTTGTAGATCATAAACCATGGAAAAAAAGGACAAAGAGATTGCAAGACTTACATATTTTTTCTGTAAAGCATCATAACATCCTAGCATCCTAAAAAAATCAAGGATTCATTTTAGACTGAATGCATTTCCAGAAAATAGTTACTTTCATACATTTCCACATTATCTCATTACTAAATAACATAAAAATATCTTATTCAAGCTCCCTTCTTATTAACTAGCTTAAAACAAGACAAAACATAAAAAACAATGTGGCAGAAATGTAAAATGATGATAGGGATGGAAGAGAAAATACAAAATATCTGATAGCTATTTGTGGAGAACAATAGTAAAATAAATGAAACCTGCTTGCATGGAGCATAAAATAAAGAAATATTAATTTTTAATTTTAATTTTATTTTTTACATGAAGTCGTCATCCAGGCTGGAGTGACAGAGACAGGGTTTCACCATGTTAGTCAGGCTGGTCTTGAATTCCTGACATGCCTCGGCCTCCCAAAGGGATTATAGGCATGAGCTACTGTGCCTGGCCAACATTTATTTTTAAAATTTATTTTACCAAATACCCAGACTTCCAGGATAGGAAACCTTCAGCGGCAAATTTAATGACCTACAAAAATGCTATCTAGCATTAAAGGATGATTCACTAAAATTTGGTTAAACACCAAAAAGTATCCAAGGTATAAAAAAAGTAATATGAGAAAAAATAATTTTCCCTCTTTAGGTATTGTTTTACTTGCCATTTCACTAACTGTGTAGATCCTGGGCAATTTTTATCTTCTCTCAGTATTTTGACACAAAGATCTAAACACAAAAATAATAAAATATAGAGTTACTTAAGAACAGCAAACAACTAGAAATTTTAAATGTGTATTACAGGTAAATTATTATTATAGTTATTATCATTTTGAAACAGGGTCTCACTCTGTCACCCAGGATGGAGTGCAGTGGCATGATCTTGACTCACTGGAACCTCTGCTTCCTGGGTTCAAGCCATTCTCCCACCTCAGCCTCCTGAGTAGCTGGGACTACAGGTGCATGCCATCATGCACCTGTAGTGCATGTGGCTAATTTTTGTATTTTTTGGTAGACAGGGTTTCCCCATGTTGGCCAGACTGGTCTCGAACTCCTGACCTCAGGTGATCTGCCTGCCTCGACCTTCCAAAGTGCTGGGATTACAGGCATGAGCCACCATGCCCAGCACAGGTAAATTATTAATAGCAAAAACTAATACCCAGATGATTAATATTATTAATGTAATTAAAGGAATAAAGGTTATATGAATGCAGTCTTTTAATATTTATTATAAAATTCCATCATAATAAGGATGCAAGTTGATGGGTACAAAAGTATTTCATGGAAAAAATTGTAAAATCCATAAAATTAGATATGTTGCTTTTATGCCATTGTTATACAGAAATCTCAGAATCTTATCCCAATAACATACTTCGAATCTTATCCCAGTAAAATACTTGTAAAGGCCAAGAAGTTAACTAGCTATCAAAAACAAAGAGGCCTGCAAAGAAGCAACATGCAACAAAGTGGAAAAGACTGACAGCGTCTCATATCCTCAGGTTTCTTATTTGAAAAAGAGAGATTTATAGGACTGTTACATGAATTAACAAGATATCATACATAACATAGTGCCTACCATATTGCCCAGCACATAACTGGTATACAATATTTTGCATGTACAATGAGAAATAAGTTATTATTGTAGTACAAACTGGCTGTATTATTTTTATTATTTTAATTTAAAAAATGGAAATGGAGTCTCCCTTGTTGACCAGGCTGGTCTTAAACTCCTGGCCTCAAGTGATCCTCCCACCTCAGCTTCCCAGAGTGCTAGGATTACAGACATGAGCTTCCACTCCTGGTCCTGGCTGTATTATTTTTACTTTCTAAAAATAGTACAATCCATTTTTTTAATACACTACTACTGTACAAAGTTATAAATAACAATGTTTTCTATCTATCTCTTTCATCATTATAAGCATAATTTCAGGTAAAATCATACTTGAGAAACTGAGGAAAAATTTTGTGATTAAGTGCTTTTAAAAGTATTGAATATGGCCGGGCGCGGTGGCTCATGCCTGTAATCCCAGCACTTTTGGAGGCTGAGGCGGGCGGATCACAAGGTCAGGAGATCGGGACCATTCTGGCTAACATGGTGAAACCCTGTCTCTACTAAAAATACAAAAATTAGCTGCGCATGGTGGCACGTGCCTGTAATCCCAGCTACTCAGGAGGCTGAGGCAGGAGAATTGCTTGAACCCAGGAGGCAGAGGTTGCAGTGAGCTGAGATTGCGCCACTGCACTCCAGTCTGGTGCCTGGTGACAGAGTGAGACTCTGTCTCAAAAAAAAAAAAAAAAAAATTGAATATATATATTTAAAAACCATTTAGGTATCCAAACAAAAACTTGTTTATCAATGTGGCATTATTCATAGTAGCCAAAAAAAGAACCCAAATGTTCATCAACTGATGGAGGGATAAATAAAATGTGCTACAGCCATACAACAGAACATTATTCAGCAACAAAAAGGGATGAAGTGCTTATCCATGCTACAATATGGAGGATCCTTGAAAACATTATGCTAAGTGAAAGCCAGTCACAAAGGACCACATTTTCTTTTTTTTTTTTTTTGAGACAGAGTCTTGCTGTGTCACCAGGCTGGAGTGCAGTGGCACAATCTCAGCTCACTGCAACGTCTGCCTCCTAGGTTCAAGCGACTCTCCTGCCTCAGCCTCCCGAGTAGCTGGGACTGCAGGCATGTGCCACCATGCCCAGCTAATTTTTGTATTTTTAGTAGAGACAGGGTTTCACCACATGGGCCAGGATGGTCTCCAATTCCTGACCTCAAGTGATCTGCCTGCCTTAGCCTCCCAAAGTGCTGGGATTACAGACATGAGCCACTGCACCTGGCCAGGACCACATTTTATATTATTTATATGCAATGTCCAGAATAAGTAAATCCGTATAGACGGAAAGCAGATTGGTGATTGCCTAGAACTGGGAAGGCCGAGGGGAAGTGCATAGTGGCTTAATGGGTATGGAGTTTCATTGTAAAATTGACTGTGGTAATAGTTGTACAACTCTGTGAATATAGTAAAAATAATTGAAATGTACACTTTAAACAAGTGAACTGTCAGGTATGTAAATTGTATTAATAAAGCTTCTATTAAAAATAAAATTTCTAAGTCAAAATTATAGTTTTAGAGCAAGCCAGAAAACATAATTTTAAAAGAAAGATTTAAAATAAATATTATATTACCATCTAGATATCTTGTTCCATAAGCGCATTCTGGAAATATTCCTCTCAAATACGTGATACAGGATACTGAAACTGCTAGGAGCCTCTTCACTAACACCAAAGACTGGTGTTCAGTTGATATCTTATTGGGAAATACCAGTGCACTCTAGAATTCAAGGGAAAATAAAACACTATAAATTTACTAAAAATAAAGTTTCCCTGGACTTAACATAGATCCTATTTTGCATAAGCACAGTACTCTCCCCAAGAATTCCTCCCTATATTGGGTAGTAACCCCTCAAGAGTCAGAGTGGTGTGTAAAATGTGAGGGTGTTTCCCTAAAACACCCTAACAGACACATGCAAAAAGTACCTACAAGTCTTTAAAAATTTTTTTAAAAATTGAGACAGGGTCTCACTCTATCGCTTAGCCTGGAGTGCAGTGGCATGACCACAGCTCCCTACAACCTCGATTGGATGCCAGTTGATGGGCACAAAGCATTTCATTAAAAAAGTATAGGACGGGTGCAGTGGCTCACACCTGTAATCTCAGCACTTTGGGAGGCCGAGGTGAGTGGATCATGAGGTCAGGAGTTCAAGACCAGCCTGGCCAACGTGGTGAAACCCCATCTCTGCTAAAAATACAAAAATTGTTGGGCATGGTGGCACGTGCCTGTAATCCCAGCTACTTGGGAGGCTGAGGCAGAGAACTGCTTGAACTTGGGAGGCAGAGGTTACAGTGAGCTGATCGTGCCACTGCACTCCAGCCTGGGTGACAGAATGAGACTCAGTCTCCAAAAAAAAAAAAGTATAGAATAATTATATAATTATTCAGATTATATTTGAATATATCAAAGACTAGTCTTTTGAGGATGAATAAAACAAATGTTAATCATGGCTGGGATTTTTTTTTTTTTTTGAGATGGAGTTTCGCTGTTGTTACCCAGACTGGAGTGCAATGGCACATCTCAGCTCACCGCAACCTCCGCCTCCTGGGTTCAAGCAATTCTCCTGCCTCAGCCTCCCGAGTAGCTGGGACTACAGGCGTGCACCACCATGCCCAGCTCATTTTTGTATTTTTAGTAGAGACGGGGTTTCATCTTGTTGACCAGGATGATCTCGATCTCTTGACCTCATGATCCACCTGCCTCGGCCTCCCAAAGTGGTGGGATTATAGGCGTGAGCCACCGTGCCCGGCCTCATGGCTGGTATTTTTAAAACACCTTTTTGGGACACGCATATAAAGTGTTTTTAGTTTATTCACAGAGGTGTGTGTGTGCAACAATCACCACCATCAATTTTATAACATTTTCTTCTCCCCAGAAAGGAAACCCATACCAATTAGCAATCACTCCCTGTCCCTTATCCCATCCCATGTCCCAGCCACTAGTCTTTTTGTCCCTATAGGTTTGCCCATTCTATACATTTCATATATGACATTTCATATATCCTCCCACAACCTCTAAAATGAGGAGGATCCAAATGATCCTCCTGCTGAGACTACCATGCACCACCATGCCTGGCTAATTTTTTTTTTTTTTTTTTTGAGAGATGAGGTCTCACTATGTTACCCAGGCTGATCTCAAACCCTTGGGCTCAAGTGATTCTCTCACCTGGGCCTCAGCCCAAAAAGTACCTACAAATCTTAAGCATCCCCTTGCAGATTAACTGTCTGTAAATACATAATACATGGATAGATAACATTGATTTTTCTCTTTGGTCACCAACTAGGCTTAAGAGGTTAAGTGTAATGCAAAATCCCATACAAAGATGACAAATTCATATTTGTCTCTGGGTTACAAATATTCATTTTCTTTTCTTTTTGAGATGGAGTCTCATTCTGTTTCCCAGGCTGGAGTGCAGTGGTGCAATCTTGGCTCACTGCAAGCTCCCTTACTGGGTTCAAGTGATTCTCCTGCCTTAGCCACCCTCATAGCTAGGATTGCAGGCATGAGCCACTGTGCCTGGCCTCATTTTCTTATTTCTTTATTTTTATTCTGCTTACATATTGAACATTTATGTTCTGGAGGTGGACTGCTATGGACAATAATTCATCAAAGCAACAAAGCAGTGTTCACTAATACTTAATGTAAGTTAAATGTGAATGAGCAATTTAATACAATGCAGCAAACATCTAATATAATTCTCAATTGATTCAAAATACTTCAGCAAATATCTTCATTTCTAACCCTAACCCTAACCTTGGTATCATAAAATCCTCAAATAGTTGAGACCTAACTTCCAAATAGAACAACAGAGTAGCTGAGACTTCAAGAAACAATAAAATCAGCTAAATTAAGATCTACCAAAATACAAGAAATAATACCATGGAAGTCCTCTGCAACTGGGCGGTGGCCATCTTCTTCTGATAGAGTATTTTCTTTAATTCAACCTTGTGACACAAATACAAGCTTTCACTTAGAGCTCATTTTTTTCTCTAACATTCCACTTTCCCACATATAAAATTCAAAAGAATTTCAGTGAACAAACTTGAATTTCTTAAATTAAAACAGAATCTTCAAAAATGTAGAGGTGGATATTGCAGAACTCTTTTGAGTAGGGTCCTGATTTGAAGCCATTTGACTCACAGGTCTCAAGGAAATGGGTTATTAAGAAACTCTCTAAGAGGACTTTTTAAGGTACAATCTTCCCATTTTTATTCACTACACATATTCAAACACGGACAGCATTGTACAGGTAGGCATTAGGTAATGAAAGACTGCCCCTGGCAAACGCGCTAACATCTTTTACTTTTATTTCTTTTCTTTTCTTTCTTTTTTTTTTTTTGAGACGGAGTTTCGCTCTTGTTACCCAGGCTGGAGTGCAATGGCGCGATCTCGGCTCACCGCAACCTCCGCCTCCTGGGTTCAGGCAATTCTCCTGCCTCAGCCTCCTGAGTAGCTGGGATTACAGGCACGCGCCACCATGCCCAGCTAATTTTTTGTATTTTTAGTAGAGACGGGGTTTCACCATGTTGACCAGGATGGTCTCGATCTCTTGACCTCGTGATCCACCCGCCTCGGCCTCCCAAAGTGCTGGGATTACAGGCGTGAGCCACCGCGCCCGGCCTATTTCTTTTTCTTTTTTGAGGGGACGGAGTCTTGTTCCGTCACCAGGCTGGGGAGCTCACTGCAACCCCACCTCCTGCCTCAACCTCCCGAGTAGCTGGGACTGCAGGCGCGCGCTGCCCCGTCCGGCTAGTTTTTTTCTGTTTTAACAGAGACGGGGTTCGCCATGTTGGTCTGGCTGCTCTCAAATCCTCCTGCCTCAGCCTCCCAACTTGCTGGGATTACAGGCGTGAGCCACCGCGCCTGGCCCCCATCTGGCTTGAATTCGGCTGGACGAGTTTACGGAAGGGGCAGACTTCATAGAAGAACCTATTTCAAACGTTTCAAGTTATTCTGACAAAGCCTGGATTCGCTGCCCGTATTCACCTCATCTCAAGAACCTCAGGTGACAAGGACGTTTACATTTTTCCCCGCAAATGTTTTACCTTAAGACCTTAGGAAACTTAAAAGGAGGGGGAAGGTGACAGAAAAAGGGATTAAAAAGTAAAATACACCCACAAACACACACATATACACACTAATAAATATTACATTACGTGTGAGGCACGGACGCCGGAGAGCAGACGAGCTGCACGAGGCTGCACGCGCTCTGCCCAACGCGCATGCGCCTTCCTTCAACGGTCACCCGCTGGGGCGCGACAGTGGCTTTTCGACGTCTGGTCAAGGTCATCTTTCCCGCCAAGCGCCGCGCAATGCACACTGGGAACCTCAGACGCAGGAAAGCTCAGCGCCACGTCTCAGGCAGGGAAAAATCAGACACAAGGGGGAAGGTTAAGTAACTGCATGTGCCGTTACTGACTTTTGATTTTTCTTTTTCTTTTTTTTTTTTTGAGACGGGGTTTTACTCTGTCGCCCAGGCTGGAGTGCTATGGCGCGATCTCGGCTCACTGCAACCTCCGTCTCCTAGGTTCAAGCGATTCTCCTGCCTCAGCCTGCCAAGTAGCTGGGTTTACAAGTGCCCGCAACCATGCCTGGCTAATTTTTGTATTTTTAGTAGAGATGAGTTTTTGCCATATTGGCCAAGCTGGTCTCGAACTCCTGACCTCAGGTGATCTGCCCACCTCCGCCTCCCAAAGTGCTGGGATTATAGGCGTGAGCCACCACACCTGGCAAACTTTTGATTTTCTTATTGGAACGACCACAAATTGCATTCCCACCTTCCTGTGTCTTCAGGAAACCAGTTGCTCTAGCAGTCTTTTTAACCATCTCCACTGTGTTATGTCACTGGGGACAATGGATAGCTTTGAATGTAATTTGTCTCATTTAGAAATAAAATAAAATCAGAGTGGGTAGGTATTAATAGTTGGAGATTAGTAGTACAAGCTTCTTAGCTTACAGATTATTGTATGTCCAAATACATTTCTTACCAGTGTCAACACACAGACATGCCTTGAAGATATTGCAAGTTCAGTTCCAGACCGTGCAATAAAGCAAATCACACAATTTTTTTAAATTGCATTTTAGGTTTTGGGGTTCACGTGAAGAACATGCAAGATTGTTGCATAGGTACACACGTGACAGTGTGATTTGCTGCCTTCCTCCCCATCACCTATATCTGGCATTTCTCCCCATGCTATTGCTCCCCAACTCCCCACCCCCCGCTGTCCCTCCCCTATTTCCCCCCAACAGACCGCAATATGTAGTGCTCCCCTCCCTGTGTCCATGCGTTCTCATTGTTCAACACCAGCCTATGAGTGAGAACATGCGGAATCACACAATTTTTTAACTTTTCCTGTGTGTATAAGTTATGTTGGCTGAGTGTGGTGGCTCATGCCTGTAATCCCAGCACTTTGGGAGGCTGAGGCAGGACGATTACTTGAGGCCAGAAATTGGGGATCAGCCTGGGCAACAAAGGGAGACCCCGCCAGTACAAATAATAAAAAAAATTAGGCGGAGGTGGTGGCACACAACTGTAGTCCCAGCTACTAAGGAGGCTTAGGTGGTGGCACACAACTGTAGTCCCAGCTACTAAGGAGGCTTAGGCAGGAGGATCCCTTGAGCCCAGGAGTTGGCAGTTGCAGTGAACCCTGTTTGAGCCACAGCACTCAGCCTGGGCGAGAGTGAGACTCTTCTCTCAAAAAAAAAGTTATGTTTATACTATTAATATCTTAATATATTTACTGTATATATCTTATGCTTATTGTAGTCTGTTAAGTGTGCAGGAGCATAATATCTAGAAACAGAATGCGCATACTTTAATTTAAAAATACTTTATTGCTAAAAAGTGCTAATGTCATCTGAATAATAGTCTTTTTACTGGTAGAGGGTCTTGCCTGGATGTTAATGGCTGCTGACTGATCAGGGAGGTGTTTGCTGCATGTTGGGGTGTCTGTAGCAATTTCCTAAATTAGAACAACAATGACATTCACCACATCGACTGACTCTTCCTTTGGGAGGCCGAGGAGGGTGGATCACGAGGTCAAGAGATCGAGACCATCACGGTCAACATGGTGAAACCCCGTCTCTACTAAAAATACAAAAAATTAGCTGGGCATGGTGGCGCATGCCTGTAATCCCAGCTACTCAGGAGGCTGAGGCAGGAGAATTGCCTGAACCCAGGAGGCGGAGGTTGCGGTGAGCCGAGATTGTGCCATTGCACTCCAGCCTGGGTAACAAGAGCGAAACTCCCTCTCAAAAAAAAAAAAGATTTCTCTGTAGCATGGGATGCAGTTTGATAGCATTTTACTCATAGTAGAATTTCTTTCAGAATTGGAGTCATTTCTCTCAAACACTGCTGCTACTTTGTCAACTAAGTTTATGTAACATTTAACATCCTTTGTTGCCATTGCAATCTTGTTCACAGCATCTTCACCAGGAGTAGATTCCATCTTAATAAACCACTTTCTTCAATCATCCATAAGAAGCAACTTGGCCAGGCATGGCGGCTCATGCCTGTACAGATCACGACGTCAGGAGTTCAAGACCAGCCTGGCCAATATGGTGAAACCCATCTCTACTAAAAATACAAAAACTAGCCAGGCATGGTGGCGTGTGCCTGTAATCCCAGCTATTAGGGAGGCTGAGGCAGGAGAATCACTTGAACTCAGGAGACGGAGGTTGCAGTGAACGGAGATTGTGCCATTGCACTCCAGCCTGGGTGACAGAGAGGATCTCTGTCTCAAAAAAAAAAAAGACCGTTTCACCTTCTTATCATTCCTGTGTTCACTAGAGTAGCACTTTTAATTTCCTCCAAGAACTTTCCCTTTACATTCACAATTTGGCGAACTATTTGGCACGAGAGGCCCATTCAGCTTATCTTGGCTTTTGACATGCCTTCCTCACCAAGCTTAATCATTTCGAGCTTTTAAGTTAGACGCATGCAACTCTGTCTTTCACTTGAACACACAGACAACATTGCCAGGTTATCAATTGACCTAATTTCAATATTGTGGTGTCATAGGAAATAGGGAGGCCCAAGGAGAGGGAAAGAGATGGGGACACAGCCAGTCAGTGGATTTGTTGATTAAGTTCACCATCTTACATGGGTGCGGTTTTTGGCATCCCATGACAACGAACACAGTACCGTTAAAGATCACTGATCATAGATCACCATAGCAGATAATAATAATGAAAAGGTTTAAATATTGCAAGAATTACCAAAATGTGACACAGACACATTAAGTTAGTATATGCTGTTGAGAAATGGCGCTGACAGACTTGCTTGATGCTGGGTTGCCACAAACCTGCACTTTGTAAAAAATGCAATATCTGCAAAGCACAATAAAATGAGATAAGCCTGTATTCATAAACTTTGAAATATCTTCATTACAAAGGAGAAAACTGCCACCCAGATATGAAAAGATTTGCCCAAAGTCATTCAACTAAGAGAGAAATGAAGACTAGAACCGTGTTATCAGGATTAAAAATAGTGAAAACCTTGGTCTAATAATTATTTTGAATTATAGTTAAGTCACCTTTTTTTTTTTTTTTGAGTCGGAGTCTCACTGTGTCACCCAAGCTGGAGCGCAGTGGGGCAGTCTTGGCTCATTCCACCTCCCAGGTTCAAGCAATTCTCCTGCCTCAGCCTCCCTAGTAGCTGGGATTACAGGCGTGTACCACCACACCCAACTCATTTTTGAATTTTTAGTAGAGACAGGGTTTTACCATGTTGACTAGACTGGTGCTGAACCCCGACCTCAGGTGATTTGCCCACCCTGGACTCCCAAAGTGCTAGAATTACAGGCATAAGCCACAGTGTCCAGCCGCTTTTTTTCTTTAGAGACAGGGTCTCTTTCAGTCTCCCAGGCTGGAGTGCAGTGGTGCAATCATATTCACTGCAGCCTCATACTCCTGGGCTCAAACAATCGTCTCACCTAAGCCTCTGTAACAGCTGGGACTACAGGTGTGTGCCACCACACTCAGCTAATTTTTAAATTTTATTGTAGAGTCAGGGTCTTGCTATGTTGCACAGGCTGGTCTTGAAATACTGGCCTCAAGTGGTCATCCTACCTTAGCCTCCCGAAGTGTTTCAATTACAGGCATGAACTACTATGCCAGGCCTATTTTCTTTTCTTTTCTTTTTTTTTGAGATAGAGTCTTGCTCTGTCGCCAGGCTCCAGGCTGGAGTGCAGTGGTGTGATATGGGCTCACTGCAACCTCCACCTCCCAGGTTCAAGCAATTCTGCCTCAGCCTCCTGAGTAGCTGGGACTACAGGCACGTGCCACCATGCCCAGCTAATTTTGTATTTTAGTAGAGATGGGGTTTCACCATGTTGGCCAGGATGGTCTTGATCTCTTGACCTCGTGATCCGCCCGCCTCGGCCTCCCAAAGTTCTGGGATTACAGGTGTGAGCCACCGCGCCCTGCCTCTTTTTTTTTCTTTTGAGACAGAGTCTCTCTCCATTGTCAAGGCTGGAGTGCAGTGGTGCGATCTCGGCTCAGTGCAATATCTGCCTCCCAGGTTCAAGCAAGTCTCCTGCCTCAGCCTCCCAAGTAGCTGGGATTTCAGGTGTCCACCACCTTGCCAGGGTAAGTTTTGTATTTTTAGTAGAGATGGGGTTTCACCATGTTGGCCAGACTGGTCTCAAACTCCTGACCTCAGGTGATGCCCTCCTTGGCCTCCCGAAGTGCTGGTATTACAGGTGTGAGCCACCATATCTGGCCCCATTTCTTACATGTTCCGATTTATAATCTTTTTGGTAACTTAGAATATGCATACTTGAATCACTATCAAGATTCTCATCTAGAAGAGAAGAGTAAGAAAAGAATAATTTGATTGAAAGAAATAGTAGGTCTTATGCCTGTAATTTCAGTACGTTGGGAGGCCAAAGTGGGAGGATCACTTCAGGCCAGGAGTTGGAGACCAGCTGGGCAACATAATGGATTCCAATCTCTGCACACACACACACAAAATAAGCCAGGCATGGTGGCTTGCACCTCTAGTCCCTGCTACTGGAGGGGTTGAGGCAAATACGTGAGGTGAAAAAATAGCTTAAGCCTGGGAGTTCAAGGCTACAGTGAGCAGTGTGATTGCACAACTGAACTCCAGCCTGGGTGACAGAGTGAGACCCTGTTTCAAAAAAAAAAAAAAGACAACAAAAGAAAAAAGAGAGAAGGGAAAAGGAAATACTAAGTATCTGTCATATTTATTTTAAATATATTGATGGCATTGTCTCATGAACTCCTATTTCCAGAATACTTAAATCTTGTTTCTTTTTCTCAAATATAATTTTTCAATTCTTTTTGCTAATCTATGTGCTGCTGAAGTGAGCACTGTTTCTTTTATTACACAGTTTAAAGTTTTGTCAACTTCTCTGTGATGACTCCCAGATTTACTTTGTTTATTTTTTATTTCTTTGCTGTTTTCAGAAAATGATATATTTAGTTAGTTTAGGGTTTAATCACTACACATGTAGACTACTATAATAACTTTTAGATTGTTTCTGTATTTTTTTCTTTTTTTTTTTTTTTGAGATGGAGTTTCGCTCTTGTTATCCAGGCTGGAGTGCAATGACGTGATCTCGGCTCACTGCAACCTCCGCCTCCTGGATTCAAGCAATTCTCCTGCCTCAGCCTCCTGAGTAGCTGGGACTACAGGCGCACGCCACCATGCCTGCTAATTTTTGTATTTTTAGTAGAGATGGGGTTTCACCTTGTTGACCAGGATGGTCTTGATCTCTTGACCTTGTGATCCACCCACCTCGGCTTCCCAAAGTGCTGGGATTATAGACGTGAGCCACCGCACCCAGCCGTGTTTCTTTTCTTTTCTTTCTTTCTTTTTTTTTTTTGAGACGCAGTTTTGCTCTTGTTGCCCAGGATGGAGTGCAATGGCATGATCTTGGCTCACCACAACCTCTGCCTCCCAGGTTCAAGCAATTCTCCTGCCTTAGCCTCCTGAGTAGCTGGGATTACAGGCGCCTGCCACTACACCCAGCTAATTTTTATATTTTTAGTAGAGATGGGGTTTTACCATGTTGGTCAGGATGGTCTCCAACTCCTGACCTCAAGTGATCCACTCACCTCAGCCTCCCAAATTGCTGGGATTACAGGAGCGAGCCATCACACCAGACTGGATTGTTGTATTTAAAATTTTTGTTTATTATTTACCAATTTATTTGTTTTGAAACAAGCTCTTACTCTGTCATCCAGGCTGGAGTGCAGTAGCATTATCATGGCTCACTGCAACCTCAATCTCCTGGGCTCAAATGATCCTCCCATCTCGGCCTTTCCCCTAGTAGCTGGAACTACAGGCACGCACCACCACACCTGGCTAATTTTTAAATATTTTGTAGAGATGGGGATCTTTTTATGTGCTCATAATGAGAGGCAGGAGGATCACTTGAGCCCAGGAGTTCAACACCAGACTCTTGAACTTCTGGCTCAAGTGATTCTCCCACCTCAGCCTCCCAAAGTGCTGGGATTACAGGCGTGAGCCTCTGCACCTGGCTTTTAAAATGTTTTTCTTCAAATCATTTTGCATGCTACTGTCTAGAAATTGTTCCAGAATAAATTTTTTTTTTTTTTTTAGATGGAGTTTTGCTCCAGACTGGAGTGCAATGGCACAATCTTGGCTCACTGCAACCTCTGCCTTCTGGGTTCAAGCAATTCTCCTGCCTCAGCCTCCCGAGTAGCTGGGACTACAGGCATGCACCACCATGCCCAGCTAATTTTTGTATTTTTAGTAGAGATGGGGTTTTACCTTTTTGACCAGGATGGTCTCGATCTCTTGACCTTGTGATCCACCCACCTTGGCCTCCCAAAGTGCTGGGATTATAGGCGTGAGCCACGGCGCCCGGCCCAGAATAAATTCTTTTTTGTTATTTTAAACATATTTTTAGATAATTTATCTCTAGATGTTTGAAACTACTTATTGCTAAAAATTTCCCTTTATATTGGGCAACCAATAAACATTTTTATTATTAATAAAATTTATTTAATATTAAATATTTCATTATTCTTTTTTTTTGAGATGGAGTTTCACTGTTGTTACCCAGACTCGAGTGCAGTGGCATGATTTTGGCTCACCACAACCTCCACCTTCTGGGTTCAAGCAATTCTCCTGCCTCAGCCTCCCAAGTAGCTGGGACTACAGGCGCACACCACCATGCCCAGCTAATTTTTGTATTTTTAGTAGAGATGGGGTTTCACCTTGTTGATCAGGATGGTCTCAATCACTTGACCTCATGATCCACCCGCCTCGGCCTCCCAAAGTGCTGGGATTATTGGTGTGAGCCACTGCACCTGGCCATATTTCATTATTCTACTTGTTTAGTTCAGGCATTCTTTAATTAAGAGCCACAACACTTAAAGCCTCCTTGGCTAGAATTCAAGGAATTTGTGAATTTGTATCAGTCAAAAATTTCATTTTTATTTTTACTAATGTAGGGGAGAACATATCTTTCCTTCTATGCATCCTAGGTTTAGGGCTGAGATCCCTATTACAAAAGAGAGATTAGCAAGAGAAAAGCATACACATTTATTTAATATAACTTTTACATGACACAAGAGCCTCCATAAGGAAATAAAGTCCCAAAGAAACAGTTAAACTTGAATTTTTTTAATAGCAGATTTGATGAAAAGCAGCCAGTGATAGAGAAATGTGATAGGGCAAAGTGTGGACAAGCTAAATGTAATCCACTGGGGGAAACTTAGCAGGCCTTTGTTTAGATTCCTCTTTGTGTCCTTGTGCTTTTGGAGGTAAGGATGCTCCTTTTCTTTGGGTGCGGGGAGAGCACCTCTTACATGAGGATCTTATGATTTACTTCAGGGGAAGTCCAGAAAATCCTTCCTAGGTTTTGTGGCTGCTTCTGGGGAGAAGGGCAGGCGGAAGGTCAGAGTCACTTTCCTGCTTCTGCAGTTTTCTCAAATGCCTTCAGCTTAAAATATTCAATATGTCAAGGTGCTATATTTTGTGTAGGGCATCCTGAACCTTGTCACTAACCTCTAACTGAAAGTTAGGATTTTCTTCAATTCTGAACATAGTTCATAAACCACAGTAATATTAGCAATACCTTATCATCAAAAGAAAACCCAGATACTTTCATATCACATGACTTTTTTGCATCTATTTCGTTATGTTCATCACTACTTCAAATTTAGGATAGCTATTAACTCTTACTGAATGCATTTATAAAGAAGCATGTATATTAGTATATAACAAACTTATATTTAACATTTTAATAACTGTATTTCAATAGAATTGGCTTCCTTTGTAATCCTATATGTTTTATGCATTTAAAAACATGATTCTGAGAAGGCATTCATAGGCTTTATCAGATTGCTAAAGACTAAAAACCCATGTTTTTGTTCTACTTTCAAATACTTGTGGATAAAAACAAAAATTATGTTAAAAACTGAAAAGTAGGCTAGGTGAAGTGGCTCATGCCTAGCACTTTGGGAGGCCGAGGTGGGTGGATCACCTGAGGTCAGGAGTTCGAGACCAGCCTGGCCAATGTGGCAAAACCCTGTCTCTACTGAAAATATAAAAATTAGCTGGGCGTGGTGGTGTGTACCTGTAAATCCCAGCTGCTTGGGTGGCTGAGGCAAGAGAATCTCTTGAACTGGGTAGGCAGAGGTTGCAGGGAGTTGAGATGGCACCATTGCACTCCAGCCTGGGCGACCGAGCGAGATTCTGTCTCAAAAAAAAAAAAAAAAACCCACAAAACTGAAAACTAATCAACTAAATACTTTTTAACTATAATATCTACAATATTCTCTACACTTTTGATGATCGCCATGTATTATGGTATTATGTTTTTATATTTAGCAATTCTTGTTCCTTAAAATGTGGTTTATGGAGGAGAAGGAGCCAGACTTAGTGAAATTAGTTTAGATCAGTTTAGGATACATTAATGACATTATCCCACACATTGTTCATGCCTGTGACATGAACTTAAGAAATTTAAAGTTCCTGCTGCCTGCTTAGATACATCTACTTATCTAGAGCAGTTGTGAGGAAGATCCATCTGAATCAGATAAAAATATGAGCAGTGGACTATTGGGTATTTAATTTCAGTTGGCTCAATTATTTGCCAAGAAAAGGCCTTGGTCAAATTGTTGATGGATAGGTAAAAATAATTTGGACTAGTATATTAAATTGTTGATCATTAAAATAATTCTTCCAAAGTGCTTATCTTTTATGCATTTGTTTTCTTTAACATGATTTAATTTAAAAACGTTTATTGAGTCCTCTTTTTTTTTTTTTTGAGACGGAGTTTCGCTCTTGTTACCCAGGCTGGACTGCAATGGCGCAATCTCAGCTCACTGCAACCTCCGCCTCCTGAGTTCAGACAATTCTCCTGCCTCAGCTTCCTGAGTAGCTGGGATTACAGGCATGTGCCACCATGCCCAGCTAATGTTTTGTATTTTTAGTAAAGACAGGGTTTGACCATGTTGACCAGGATGGTCTCAATCTCTTGACCTTGTGATCCACCCACCTCAGCCTTCCCAAAGTGCTGGGATTACAGGCGTGAACCATCAAGCCCAGCCTCAAACTATATTTTCTAAACAGCACAGTAAATATACATCAATCATGACACAATTATTTCTTCTGGATACAGCAGAACAAATTAAGAGAAAGTGCTTCATATTTCTTGATTTGTTATAAAATGAAGAGATCCTCTAGATTTCCGGGTAAGAGGGATAACTAGCAATCCCACAATGATTTCCTTTATTTCTTGCCATCCGAATATATCCTCGTTCACCAAAGTTGCTGCCCCAGCTTTAGAAAAAGAAATAATACAAAATTACAATTGCATACAATCAAATCATATTATCAACTTTTTTTCATATTATAACTTTTTATCTCATTGTTTTCCTCTATAAGTGATTACATATGAAAGGCTGTAAAACAAAATTAGAATGAAATAATATCACAATTTCTCTAGGGATTTCAGGCAATTTAAAATATGGGTTTGGAAAGCTTTAGTGCTATAGTGATGAGTAGACTTAATACCTAAGGAAAACTATCGTAAGATCCATCACAGTTCTTTAATCCTCCTAACTTTAAAAATATGCCTTCTCTAAGGAAAGAGTATTAGGATCCTTTATAAGACTTTATCTCTAAATTTTGTGATACATGGATAATGATTTTCTATCAAACTTAAATTCCTCTAGAGAATGTCAATTAAGAAATACTTTTGAGGCTGGGCATGGTGGCTCAAGCCTGTAATCCCAGCACTTTGGGAGGCCGAGGCGGGTGGATCACGAGGTCAAGAGATCGAGACCATCCTGGTCAACATGGTGAAACCCCGTCTCTACTAAAAATACAAAAAATTAGCTGGGCACGGTGGTGCATGCCTGTAGCCTCAGCTACTCAGGAGGCTGAGGCAGGAGAAATGCCTGAACCCAGGAGGCAGAGGTTGTGGTGAGCGGAGATCGCGCCATTGCACTCCAGCCTGGGTAACAAGAGCGAAACTCCGTCTCAAAAAACAAAACAACAAAAAAAGAAAAAAAAATATTTTTGAGTGACTACTATGAAAAAGGTATAGGGCAGGGAATTCTAAAGTAAACAATAAAAATGCAGCTCTGAAAGAGCTTTTTGGTCTAGAAGTGGAGCTGAGATAAGACTTTCTCATAATTAAAGCTATTGAAAAATGAGTCAGGCATGGTGGCTCACACTTGTAATCCAAGTGCTTTGAAAAGCTGAAGTGGGAGGATTGTTTGAGACCAAGAGTTTGAGACCAGCCTGGGCAATATAGCAAGACCCTGTTTCTACCAAAAAAATATGTTTTTTTGAGACAGAGTCTCACTGTTTCCCAGGCTGGAGTGCAGTGGCACAATCTTGGCTGATTGCAACCTCTGTGTCCTGGGTTAGAGCAATTCTCCTGCCTCAGCCTCCTGAGTAGCTGGGATTACAGGTGTGTGCCACCACACCCAGCTAATTTTTATATTTTTAGTAGAGATGGGGTTTCACCATATTGGTCAGGCTGGTCTTGAACTCCTAACTTCAGGTGATCCACCCAACTCAGCCTCCCAGAGTGTTGGGATTATAGGCGTAAGCAACCGTGCCTAGCCCAAAATAAAATAAAAAAAAATTAGCCAGGTATAGTGGCTGTATTCCTTAGCTATTCTGCAGGCTGAAGTGGGGAGGATCACTTGAGCCCAGGGATTCGAGATTACAGTGAGCTATGACTGCACCACTGCATTCCTGGCACTCCAGCCTGACCCTGTCTCAAAAAAAAGAAAGAAAGAAAAGAAAAGAAATATTTCTGCTTGGCACTGGAAGTGTTCAAGCAAGCAGAATCTACTGGGTAGAGATGCTTAAGATGAAATTCATGGGGCAGATTAGGGTTCAAACTGATCAGTGTTTCACTTTTTGATTTCATGGACTTAGAGAAGTTCAAAAAGTTTTTACAGATTGATATATAGTTATCAATTTAAAAACCATACTATTGGCTGGGCACGGTGGCTCATACCTGTAATCCCAGCACTTTGGGAGGCTGAGACAGGTGGATTATTTGAGGTCAGGAGTTCGAGACCAGCCTGGCCAACATGGTGAAACCCCCCATCTCTACTAAAAATAGAAAAATTAGCAGGGCGTGGTAGCATGTGCCTGAGTCCCAGCTACTTGAAAGGCTGAGGCAGGAGAATTGCTTGAACCCAGGAGGCGAGGTGGAGGTTGCATTAAGCTGAGATTGTGCCTCTGCATTTCAGCCTGGGCAACAGAGTGAGATTCTGTCTCAAAAAAAGAAAATAAATAAAAATTAAACCACTTACTATCACCATCATGTTGTAAAAGAAAAGACATTTTAACAGCAAAAGCAAAAAATCCAAAGATAGAATCTCTATTTTAAGGATAGTCTTTTGAGTAAATAAATTCAGATTTATGAAAAAGTCACCAAAATATTTTAATTTTTCTTACTTTACCAAGACTGATGAAAAAACTGACAAAATCCTTGTAAGAGGAATGATTTCTAAAGCTCTTTATGATTCTGAGGTTTTGTAGTGGTAGGTATGTAAATATCATACAAGGCAGAATTCATTGAGTGCTCTAGGATACAAATGAAAGCATGAAATTGAGAAAATGCCTAGTGTGCCTGGAGTGTAAGAAATTTGGTTGACAGGAAAACCAGATACCTTTAGTGGAATAGTGGAAAAAGAGGACAGAAAGCTGGTCTGGGGCCATCTTGTGAACAGCTCAGAACTGCAGGTGGAGGAACATGTACTTCAATTACATAGGCGAAGGCAAGCTGTGATACATTTTGGCTCAGGGACTCAAAGGTTGTGTTTTTGCATGCAGTGGAGAACCTAAGAAATGCTGGTTTATTGCTGGCAGACAAATGATACCATTTAAAAGGACTGTGCTTTAAGAGGCCTTAAATATTCTATGTATCAGCCCTCATTGGACATTTTGCAGGCCCTGTTTTTATCTCTCTGTATCATTTAACACAGTGGTCTACTCCCACCTCACTGGTCTCTTGGCTTTAAGACACTACTATGTTCTGATTTTCTCATCTGTCTCTGGTCACTCCTTAAACATTTTCACAAGCTCCTTTCTTTGCTTCCTTTCACTTAGCTGCCACTCTACTGCTTAGAAATTTTCAGTGGCTCTCCATACCTTTACAATAAAATTCCAACTCCATCATCCCCTCCAACAAATCAATGGCTGCAGTGTTTTTGATTTTGTTTTTGACAGAGTCCTACCATGTTGCCCAGGCTGGTGTGTGGCCGCAGCTACGACCTCCTGAGCTTGAGCAATCCTCCGGCCTCAGCCTTCCAAGTAGCTAGGATCACGGGTGCATACTACCATGCTTAGCTAATCTTTTATTTTTAGTAGAGAACAAGTCTCACTATGTTGCCCAGGCTGCAGCAATGTTCTTTTAATATCTAGTTTGATAACAAAAGCAATAACAATAGTCTGGCCAGGCTAATATTAATAGCTACTTACTCTGTGCCAAACAGATTCACATAAATTATCTAATTCAATCATCATTCTGTGAGGTTAGTATTATCTTCTTTTACTACAGAAAAAAAACAGAAGGGCAGAGTGGTAAAGTGGCTTGCCAAATGTCACATAGATGGTAAATTGTGAAGCCAGAGTTCAAATCTAGGATTATTTTATCCCAAAGCCCACTCTAACTTTTATACTCTGCCTATCCCTGTAGTAATCTGTGTGAGTGAAGTCTCATGGGGAATGAAATTCAGATCAGAACACCCAGGATGTCGTGTAATTTACATCTTACTATGGTCACTGCCTTAAATAATCGATAGAATAAATCATTTTAGATGAACTGAGTTTGGACCTGAGTTCTAGTATGAAAATTGAATTGAGGGTCTAGTTACTGTCAGTATGAATTCAGTCAGTGAGACCAAGGAATCCGAAACCCCATTCAACATTTGCACAACTTACTTTTCTCAGTTTTACAGATCAAGATCAGCTGCCCCCAATTTTGCAAAGGACCTCAGACCTCTTTTTGACTGAGTCCTGCTAACTTCACTTAAACAATGAAACTGATAAAAATCTTTAGCTAAATAAAATATCTAAGGACAAATTCTTGCCTTCAGAACCATACAAGGTCTGTTCCAATTTCAGTACTTACCAAGTTGTATATTTTTATTGATTCTATAGCTCTTTCACTCAAACTGTTCGAATTTGGGTAAGTTTGTTGACTAAATGTCTCTCATAGGAGTACTTCAAAAATTAAATGAGAAAATGTATCTAAAGTACTTGCACAATATTTGGTACATAGCCAATGCTTACTAAGTGAAGGTCGCTATTTTCATCATTATCCAGGTATGAGGCCATCTGATTGAACTCAAGTAGAGTCTGTCTACTTCAAAACATATGTATATAGCCTTCTTCTAGGGTGACCACCAGTCCCAGTTTGCCTGGGACTGTTCTGGTTTTAAAAAGAAAGTCCTATGTCCCAGAAAGCCTCATCGCATAGCCCTTAGCAAAGTGGAAAAGTTGGTCATCCTACCTTCTCCTTGCATATTGTAAGGCTTATTAGACTTCTAAAATCGATGCCAGGGTCCTTTGTAATAGGCTGAAGCCCTGGGTTTCTTAGGCTGTGCCAGACACTCTCCGAGGCATTAGGATTACAGAGGCAAAGTCTTTCTAAAGCCTAGGTTCTAGAGGGGAAACATACAGTAAACAAAGAAATACTTGACATAATATGATATGTACAATAAAGAAAAATAAAGCAGGATAAAAGATACAGAGTGTTAGGAGACAGGGCTCAATTTTAGGTGGAATGGTTGGGTCGGGAAAAGCTTAGCCTCACAAGCAAACATGCAAGTGAGGCAAAGACCTAGATAAAGAGCTGGGAATAAGCGTGGTATGTCTGAGAAATAGCAAAAAGGCTAGTGTGCCAGGAGCTGAGTGACAGAGGGGAGAGTAGTTGGAGAGGTGGTAGGAGAGGCAAGCTAAGGCCAGATAATGTCATGCTCTACAGGTCATGGGTTTGATTGTAAGTGGGAAGGAAAGCCATTAGAGGGTTTGGGGTAGGAGGGTAACAATCTACTTTACGCTTTAAAAGATCATTTTGGCTACTGTGTAGAGGATTGATTGTAAGCAAACAAGAGGGAAGCAGCTTCCTGTTATGAGATTATTGCAATAGACCAGGAGATAGATGGATGGTGGTTTGAGGTATAATGGTAACAGTAGAAATATTGAGAAGATTTGAGGGGTGTTATGGGTTGCATTGTATCCCCCCAAAATTCATGTTGGAATCCTAACCTCCAGTATATCAGAATGTGATCTTATTTAAAGATAGCATTGATGTAGATATAATTAATTAACTTAAAATAAGGTCGTTAGGGTGCGTCCTAACCAACATGGCTGATGCTCATGAAAAGGGAAAACTGGCCAGGCACGGTGGCTCACACCTATAATCCCAAGGCGTTGGGAGACCAAAGCAGGAGGATCACTTGAGCCCAGGAGTTTGAGACCAGCCTGGGAAACAGCAAAATTCTGTATCTACAAATACAAAAAAATTAGCCTGGTGTGGTGGTGCATGCCTGTCGTCCCAGCTACTTTGGTGGCTAATGTGGGAGGATTGCTTGAGCCCAGAAGTTTGAGGCTGCAGTGAACACCGATCACCCCACTGCACTCCAGCCTAAGTGACAGAGTGAGATTCTGTCTCAAAAAGAGGGAAAACAGTAAAATTATGAATAGAGACAGAAATGCATACAGAGAGAATGTCACATGAAAATGAAGGCAGAGGTCAGGGTGATGGTTCTTAAACACCGAGGAAAGTCAAAGATCACCAGCAAACTTTCAGAGGCTAGGGGAGAGCCATCAAACATGTATTTTTTAAATTAAAAGAACATATTTAATTGACACACATTGTATAAGCTGAAAGTGTACGGTGTGATGATTTGATGTATATGCGCATTGTGCAATGATTGCCGTAAGCAAAGGAAATAACACATCCATCTCCACCCATGCTGTACCTTTGATTCCCAGAACTTGTTTATCTCCTACCTGAAAGTTTACACTCTTTGATCAACATCTCCTCATTTCCCCAGCCTCCAGTCGCTGGCAACTATCGTTCTACTGTCTGTTTCCGTAAGTTTGACTTTTTTAGATCCCACATATAAGATCATACAGCATTTTTTCTTCCTGTGTCCACGAACATTTTCTTCCTCACCGTGTGAGAAGGAAGTAACCTTGCCAACACCTTGATCTTACACTGCCAGACTCCAGAACTGGGAGACGTACATTTCTGCTATTTAAGCTGCTCAGCTCATGGCACTTGGGTTATGGCACTCATAGCAAACTAACACAGAGAAACTGCAGGTGTGCCCCAAAGACTCAATCTGCATATTTCCTCTGTTTTTTACCTCTAGAAGTTATGTTCCTTCTGTTTATGAGTGATATAGCTGTCAGTTAAATACATGTATTGAGAAGCCTTTAGGTGCCGCCCACTCAGTCTGCACTGCGGATATAAAGACAAGACGTGGTATCTCCCCAAAGGCACATACAGAACATTGGAGTGACAGACAGGTAAATATGCAATTTAAATATGATACCTAAAATGCTGTGATCCAGCATGCACAGGATATTTTGGCAGCATAGAAAAAAGACATTTTGCTCAGCCCAAGGATTCAGGCAAGCCTTTCTGGAATAGATAATGCCTGAGCTGCTTCTGAAGAAAAGGAGACGTAAATAAAGAGAAGACAGGATGTTCCAGGCAGAGGGAACCCAGATATGAAGGAAGGTGTTACAGATAAAGTGGAATGTATGGGAACTGCAACTGTGGATAGCATGACATAACCAGAGCGAAGAGCAGGAGGCAACAAATGCCAGGAGGTGAGGCTGGCAAGGGAGCACAGCCATGGGCGTGTCCTCTGTCAGGGGACATTAATTTTATACCAAATGAGACTCAGTAGAAGAGCTATAAGCCCAGACTCATTCATATTTTAGACAACTCAGTTTGGCAGCAGTGTGAAAGGGATTTGAGGGTAAAGGGGAAGAAAAGAGAGAGTAAAGGAGACCAGTGAGAAGGGCACAGCAATAGTCCACACCAGAGACGTCTGAACGAGAGCCGCAGGAGAAGAAGCAGAGAAGAGACAGGATCAAGGACACAGATTAGGTAGAATGGTCTGACTAATTGGTTGCTTGGCTGGAGTTGGGGAGATCTCAGATGAATCCATCATATCTTACCGCCTGACTATGTTGTGTGGCCCCTTACTGATATGGGAAATTCCGAAGCAGGAACAATATGGGGGAGAGAGTCCTGAATTATTTGGATGTATTGAGTTTGGAGACACTAAGATATGTGTAAGTGAGTGTGTCCACGTAAGTCTGAAGTTCTGGAAAGATGTCAGAGCTAGAGTTAGAGATTCAAAAGCCACTGGCATATATAGGTTATAACTGGAGTCCTAAGAGTGGAATTGTGGCACCCGAGAAAAAGCAGAATAAGAAGAGGAATGGGCAGAGGATAGAGCCCTGGGAAAATACCAACATTTTTGGGCTAAACAGAGGAATAGGTTCATAAGAGAGGCTGAGAAGGAATAATCAGAGAAGTGCTACAGAATATAAACCACGAAAACAAAGTAATGAAGGCAGAATAGTAAGTGAAGAGATGGGGGCACTGAATTTAGAATGTCACTTTGTGAGAAGCTGTAAAATTCATCATTGTCAATATCCTGATCATGATGATCATCATCAAAATCATAAGAAAGTGTTTGCTGAAATTCCCTCAAATTCCTGATTCCAATTAAATACAAAGTATGAATATATTACCTGTTTTTCACAAGCCAGTATTCTTCCCCATTAAGGTCACCATAGCCAATCACAAGTACACCGTGATTCACATTCTGAGTGCAGGCTGGGTCATAGTACACACCTGAGAATCAAATATGGGTGGGAAAAAAGTGAATACTATAGAATAATAAAGGACATTTTTAAATGGTATTACCTTTTATTAGCCTTCTTTGGATGCATAGCAAGGTTAATTAAAAAGTTAAGGACATACACACTCATGTGTAAACTAGGGCTCATGCTTATTTGCCATCAATGCTGTATTTTTCAGTATTCCTGTCAAGCTTAGCATCACTCCAATCATAGTCCCCCCAGAAACCTTCTTTGATAAGCACACCACTTTTTTCTAAGTTTTTTATTTTTTGTTTTCTTCCTATTTTTCAACTTGCAAATTATAAGTTATTGTAATTCTGTGTGTATACAGGCATATCTCATTTTATTGTGCTTCGTAGGACCAGAGTTTAGCTCTATTGTCTAGACTATAATACAGCGGTATGATCATAGATGACTGTAACCTCAGCCTCCTAGGCTCCAGTCATCCTTCTGCCTTGGCCACCCAAAGCGCTGGGATTACAGGCCTGAGCCACTGCACCCTGTCAGATATTGCATTTTTCACAAATTGAAGGTTAGTGGCAATTCTACATTCAGCAAGTCTATTGGTACCATTTTTCAAAAAACATGTGCTCATGTTACGCCTTTGTACCATATTTTGGTAATTCTCACAATATTTCAACCATTCTCGTCATCATTATATCTGTTATGGTCATCTGTGATCAATGATCTTTGATGTTAATATTATAACTTTGGGGGTGAGCTAAAACCACATCTACATAAGATAGCAGACTTAACCCACAAATGTGTGTGTTCTGACTGATCCGCAGACTGCCTACACTCCTGTCTCTCTCCTCAGGCCTCCCTATTCCCTGAGACACAATGATATTGCAGTTATGCCAGATAATAGCCCTGTGATCCTCCTAAGTGTTCAAGTACAAAGAAGAGTTGCACATCTCTCACTTTAAATCAAAAGCTAGAAGTAATTGAGCTTATTGAGAAAGGCATGTTGAAAGCCAAGACAGGCCAGAACCTAGCCTGGGCCTCTTGTACCAAACAGTCAGCCATGCTGTGAATGTAGAGGAAAACTGCTTGAAGGAAATTAAAAATGCCCACTCTGGTGGACACACAAATGACAAGAAAATGAAACAGTCTTAGAAAATTTGAGTGGTCTAGATAAAAGAGTAAACCTGCCAAGCACGCCCTTACGTCAAAACCTAATCCAGAACAAGACCCTAACTGTCTTCTATTCTAAGAAGGCTGAGAGAGGTGAGGAAGCTACAGAAGAAAAGTTCGAAGCCAGCAGATGTTGGTTCAAGAGGTTTAAAATTCCCTCCCTCCCTCTCTCCCTTCCTCCCTCTCTTTCTTCCTTCCTTCTTTCTTTCTTTCTTTTTTTCTTCCTTGTCTTTTGGAGACAGGTTTTCACTCTGTTGCCCAGGTTGGAGTACAGTGGTATAATCATACCTCACTGTAACCTCAAACTCCTGGGTTCAAGTGATCCTCCCACCTCAGCCTCCCAAGTAGGTGAGACTACGAGTGCGTGCCACCATGCCCAGCTAACTTTTATTTTTATTTTTTGTAGAGATAAAGGTCTCCCAGTGTGGCCCAGGCTGGTGTCAAACTCCCAGATTGCTCAAGCAATCATCCCACCTTAGCCTTCCAAAGCATCAGAATTACAGGCATGAACCACCATGCTTAGCCAATATTCTTTCTTTCTTTAAATTCTTTTTTTTTTCTTTTTTGAGATGGAGTTTCGCTCTTGTTGCCCAGGCTGGAGTGCAATGGTGCGATCTTGGCTCATCGCAACCTCTGCTTCCGGGGTTCAAGCAATTCTCCTGCCTCAGCCTCCTGAGTAGCTGGGATTACAGGCACACACCACCACGCCCAGCTAATTTTGTATTTTTAGTAGAGACGGGGTTTCTCCATGTTGGTCAGGCTGGTCTTGAACTGCTGACCTCAGGTGATCCACTGCCTCAGCCTCACAAAGTCTTGGGATTACAGCCACTGCCGGGATTACACCCGGCCTTCTTTCTTTAAATTCTTATTGTTTATTTATTTATGTATGTATTTATTTTACCACTTCTGTAGAGGAAGAAAGAAGAATGACTTGCGTCTACACCAACACACACTGGGCCCTTGTTGGCCACAGCTTCTTTCAGGACATCTTCTCTGCCATAAGGAAGTTCTGTGTACTTTGAACACGTGGCAGCACGATACTTTGAGTCATATTGACATTTCTGATCCTGCAAAAAGAAGTATAAACCAGATAAAGAAGCATACTTCAACTCCTTTATAAATCACCAGTATCCATAGCCTGGATTTTAAATATGTCTTCTTTCCTCAATTTTTTCATGTGTCCAAGGCTCCTTCCTTTGCAAAGCTTCCAAACCCTAACAATCTCAGGTTTCACCAATAATGGGGAAATACAGAACTATTCTATTTTTTCAAATTGTGAACATCTTCATACATGCAAAATTTGCCAGGACAATGTCCCCTCAGACTCTGAGGTAGACTGTAGGGAAATATGACATAGAGATGATAAACTCTAGATGAGAGCTTTAGAATCTTTTTGATGCCTGCAATGACCAGCAGTTGAAATGATGGTATATAAAGACCACATAATAATATATATAAAGACTGGGAAACACAAGTGTATTTCAAGTGGGAAAAGGAAAGCTATAAATTCATGTTTGTTGTATATAAACTATGTTTTGTATGTAGTTATTTACATTATTTATTTTTTTAAGACAGGCTCTCACTCCATTGTCCAGGCTGGAGTGCAGTGGCACGATCATAGCTCACTGCAGCCTGATGCCTCCACCTCCTGGGCTCAAGTGATTCTCCCACCTCAGCTTCTTGAGTAGCTGAAACTGCTGTGAAGGTGCACACCACCATGCTTGGCCAATTTTTTTTATTTTTAGTAGAGGTGAGGTCTCGCTATGTTGCACAGGCTGGTCTCAAACTCTTGAGTTCAAGCAAGCCTCCCAGCTCAACCTTCCAAAGTGCTAAGATCACAGGCATGAGCCACCACACCTGGCCAACTGCGTTTTGTAAGTGCTTAACAGGAAAATAACTTGAAAGAAATAAACCAAAATAATAGTGGTTAAGGTAGAAGGTTTTTGAGTAATATTTTTATCTTTAAAAAATCTTCTGTAACATGACATAATCCTTAGGTTATTGTTATAATCTTTATAATATCATTTGACAAAATGTATTCCTGTGAGGAAGAGGAAAGCATTATTTAGCTTCTCAGTAGGTGGAAGAATGAAGTTGTTAATGATCTGAGAATAAGGTTGAGCATGGGAGGCTTCAGAAGAAAAAGCTTAAATACATAGAAGTAATTTTAAGGATAGTTTGATTAAAATCTGTCTTTTTTTTTTTTTTTTGAGACTGAGTCTTGCTCTGTTGCTGAGGCTGGAGCACAGTGACCTGATATTGGCTCACTGCACCTCCGCCTCCGGAGTCCAAGTGAGTCTCCTGCCTCAGCCTCCCAAATAGCTGGGACCACAGATGTGTGCCAACACGCCCGGCTAAATTTTGTATTTTTGGTTCAGACGGGGTTTCACCATGTTGGCCAGGCTGGTCTCAAATTCTTGACCTCAGGTGATTCACCCACCTCGGCCTCCCAAAGTGCTGGGATTACAGGTGTGAACCACTGCGCCCGGCCATTAAAATTTGTTTTTAAGCATGAATACTACTTTTCATACTAATGATATATTAAGAAGAGTACTACATCAGAAAGAGAACTTTTGAGAATTTAAGAATTCCTGGCTGGGCGAGGTGGCTCATGCCTGTAATCCCAGCACTTTGGGATTCATCTGTCCCAAGGCGAACAAATCACAAGGTCAGAAGACGGAGATTATCCTGGCTAACACACTAAAACCTTGTCTCTACTAAAAATACAAAAAAGTAGCCGGGTGTGGTGTTGGGGGCCTGTAGTCCCAGCTACTCAGGAGGCTGAGGCAGGAGAATCACTTGAACCCAAGAGGTGGAGGTTGCAGTGAGCTGAGATTGTGCCACTGAAATCCAGCGTGGGTGACAGAGTGAGATTCTGTCTAAAAAAAAAAAAATTCCCCTTCAGGGTTTTATCTCACACATAATACTGCTTCTCAAGCAACTGGTATGTGGCAAGCCCAGTGCAATCGGTCAATGGATAACACAAGGTCATGTAGAAACACAAAAAGTTTCCCTGTGACGCACCATGGCTTTGTAGGGATAGGAAGCTTCTGAGTCGATGCCTTTGTTATCAATGATGTACTGGAAAGCCTCTGTCATGAAGCCACCATTGCAGCCTTTGTTTCCATACTTTTCAGAGCAGTCCACCAGGTTCTGGGCACTGAGAGACACCAGCTTTCCTGTTTTCAGTTTCAGCTGTGCTTCCAGGGCCCCCACAGCACTGAAAGCCCAGCAGGCACCACAAGAACCCTGAAACAGATACAAGGTCACAAATGCAAATCAGAAAATCATTTGAAATGACTTCTGCAACGAACTGGACAACGCCCAGCTACATCAGCTCTGTCCCTGGTTCCCAGAAACAGCTCCCCCACTACAGTTTCCTTCTGCCTTTGACAATGGGAATGAAGACTAAACACTTGATTGTTATCTAGGCAAGGTGCAACCTTGAAGGAGATTTGCAATTGGCCAAGCTCAGAGCATAATGGTCATATTCAAGTATATTAAGAAACAATACTCACTGAACACATACCAAATCACACCTGTTTTCACCTGTAAGTAAGGGAGGTAGTTGCCTACAGTAATGAGATTTGAGAGAAGCTAGGATGATTTCCTTGACCTAAAATACCCTTTCTCCTGCCAAATGATGACTGAAACATAAGAAGTGTAATCCTAGGTTGGCATTTTTCAAACCTTATTATCCTCAGAATTTTTTTGATCAAAAAATATTTTAGGCCGGGCGTGGTGGCTCATGGCTGTAATCCCAGTACTTTGGGAGGCCGAGGCGGGTGAATCACGAGGTCAAGAGATCGAGACCATCCTGGTCAACATGGTGAAACCCCGTCTCTACTAAAAATACAAAAAATTAGCTGGGCACGGTAGTGCGTGCCTGTAATCCCAGCTACTCAGGAGGCCGAGGCAGGAGAATTGCCTGAACCCAGGAGGCGGAGGTTGCGGTGAGCCAAATTCGCGCCATTGCACTCCAGCCTGGGTAACAAGAGCGAAACTCCGTCCCCCCCAAAAAAACCAAAACATATTTTACAAGGAGGCATAAACAAACAGAAAAAGGCAAATCTGCTTTAGTTTTAAAGGGGGAAAAATGTCCAGAGCCCCATCACAATTGTTCTCTTTCTCTCTCCCACCTTGCTCTCCACCCAAAGAAAGGAGCTCATTAACTTACTCAGAGTTAACATCTAAATATGTTGTTTATTGGGTCTTCTAAAGCTGTTATTTTAGAGAACTTCCGGTAAGAAATCCAAAACTAGTTGAAAGAAAAATATGTAGGTGGAAAAGAATAAGAGATTAGCAGTACCTTTCCTTCTTTTTGTTTTGTTTTGTTTTGAGACAGGATTTCCACTCAGACTGAAGGGCAGTGGTGCAATCATGGCTCACTATAACCTCAGTATCCCAAGCTCAAGCAATCCTCCCATGTCAGCCCCACAAGTAGCTGGGACTACAGGTGTGCACCATGCCTAGATAATTTTTATTTTTATATTTTGTAGAGATAGGGTCTCACTATATTGCCTAGGTTGGTTTCTAACTCCTGGGCTCAAGTGATCTTCCTGCCTCTGCTTCCCGAAGTGCTGGAATCACAGACATGAGCCACTGAGCCTGACCATCATTTACTTCCTAACACATTTTTACTTCCTTCATTGATCACAAGCTGGGGCAGCTGCTCAGAATGCTCTGATTCCTCTCACTTACCCTGACCTCTGTGGTGACACATGTGTTTTATCTCTAACTAATTTAGGATTTTTGCAGATTTTTTTTTTTGAGATGGAGTTTCGCTCTTGTTACCCAGGCTGGAGTGCAATGGGCGATCTCGGCTCACAGCAACCTCCGCCTCCTGGGTTCAGGCAATTCTCCTGCCTCAGCCTCCTGAGTAGCTGGGACTACAGGCGTGCGCCACCATGCCCAGCTAATTTTTGTATTTTTAGTAGAGACGGGGTTTCACCTTGTTGACCAGGATGGTCTCAATCTCTTGACCTCGTGATCTACCCGCCTTGGCCTCCCAAAGTGCTGGGATTATAGGCTTGAGCCACCATGCCCAGCCTTTTGCAGATTTTTAAAACAAGCAAACTATGGAAAATACAACAGCATAGGAACAATGATTTTATAAGGCACACATTTCATATGCTTAAGACTAGCCATGAATTAACTTGAGTGGCACAATTTATAGACCACTCCAGCTCTAGTTGTCTCTTCTCCTTCAACTCTGAAATTCACAAGTAAACTGGGGAGAGAAACTTCCCGATCACCAGGGTTCCCTCACATAATACCGCTTCTCAAGCAATTGGCTTGTTGGAGAGTCCAGGGCAGTCAAAGGGTAACATGAGCAGTAAACGTCTGTCTTAAACACCCATTTGCTTAGTTCAGTGTCTGTCTAAGTAGGTGGCTCTATGACCACTTAGAAAAGCACTGTGGGGCCTGAATGCAGGGGCTCATGCCTCTAATCCAACACTTTGGGAGGCGGAGGTGGGAGGATCACTTGAGTTCAGGAGCTTGAGACCAGCTTGGGCAACATAGCAAAACCCACCTCTACTAAAAATACACACACACACACACACACACACACACACACACACACGAAAGCAGGGTGTGGTGGTGCGTGCCTGTAGTCACTCTGTAGGTTGAGGTGGGAGGATCACTTGAGCCCAAGAGGCAGAAGTTGCAGTGAGGCCAGATTGCACCACTGCAGTCCAGCCTGGGCAACAGAGGGAGACCCTGTCTCAAAAGAAAAAACAAAAAACCACTGTAGGGAATCCAGTTGTCCCTCAGTATCAACAAGGAATTGGTTCCAGGACTCCTGAGTATACCAAAAGTCGAGAATGTTTAAGTCCCTTATATAAATGACTGAGTTTTGCAAATAACCTACACATCCTCCTATATGCCTTTTTTTTTTTTTTTTAAGATAGGATCTCACTCTATTGCTCATGCTGGAGTGCAGTCGTGCGACCTCAGCTCACTGTAACCTCTGCCCCAGGTTCAAGTGAGTCTCCTGCCTCATCCTCCCAGGTAGCTGGGATTACAGGTATCCACCACCACACCCGGCTAATTTTTATATTTTTAGTAGAGACAGGGTTTCACCATGTTGGCCAAGCTGGTCTTGAACTCCTGACCTCAGGTGATCTGCCTCCCTTGGCCTAAAAATTGCTGGGATTACAGGTGTGAGCAACTACACGCAGCCCTCCCAAATTCATTCTTTCTTTTTCTTTCTTTCATTCGTTCCTTCCTTCTTTCTTTAAGATGGAGTCTCACTCTTGCTCAGGCAACCTCTGCCTCCCAGGTTCAAGTGATTCTCCTGCCCAAGTAGCTGGGATTACAGGCATGCCACCAGGCCCAGCTAATTTTTGTATTTTCAGTAGAGGTGGTGTTTCATTATGTTAGCCAAGCTGGTCTCAAACTCCTGGCCGCAGGTGATCCGCCTGTCTCAGCCTCCCAAAGTACTGGGATTATAGGCATGAGCCACCATGCCTGGCCTATTTTTTATTTTCATTTTTTTCTGGATATTTTTGATCCACGGTTGGTGGAATCTGCAGATGTGGAACCTGTGGATATGGAAGGCCAACGCAATAAATAAAGTATAATATGTGATCCTTGCCCTTAAGCAACTTAAAATTTAGTTGGGAAGACAAGAATAACAAAAATGATTAGAAAGTAACATGTGGGACTGTAAGATTCACGGTCAAATTCTGTAGGTAAACTAAGCGTTTAAAGAGAGCTCTACCTAGGGTTCAGAGGCTTGGGATGGTAATACTCACTTGATATTTCACTTCGGTAACACACCCCTTTTCTCTCCAGTCCACAGAATCAGGCAACATCTGATTAGGGTTTGACTTATACGTGATATTTCTCTGCCACTGGCTGGGAACTCTCAGGGAACTCATCAAAGACATCACTTCTTCACTGGTCTACAAAGCAAACATACAGTCAGGCATCATTTGATGCCTGGAATATGTTCTGAGAAATGCATCATTAGGTGATTTTGTCACTGTACAAACACCACAGTGTATACTTACACAAACCTAGAAAGTATCAGCTCCTACATACCTAGGCAGTATGGTAGGGTCCATTGCTCCTAGACTACAAAACCTGTACTGTGGTTTTGTACTGTACTGAAGGTTGTAGGCATTTCTGGAACAATATGAAGTACTTGTGTATCTAAATATAGCTAAACATAGAAAAGGTACAGTGAAAATACAGTATAAAAAGTAAAAATGGGGGCCGGGGGTGGTGGTTCACCCCTGTAATCCCGGCACTTTGGGAGACCAAGGTGGGTGGATCACCTAAGGTCAGGAGTTGGAGACCAGCCTGGCCAACATGGTAAAACCCTGTCTCTACTAAAAATATAAAAGTTAACTAGGCGTGGTGGTGTACGCCTGTAATCCCAGCTACTTGGGAGGCTGAGGCAGGAGAAACACTTGAGACTGGGAGGTGGAGGTTGCAGTGAACTGAGATTGCGTCACTGCACTCCAGCCTGGGCAACAGAGTGAAACTCCATCTCAAAAAAAAAAAAGAAAAAAGTAAAAATGGTACCCCTATATAGCGCATTTATCATGAAATGACTGGAGTCACTCTGAGTGAGTCAGTGAGTGAGAGGTGAGTGAATGTGAAGACCCAGGGCGTTACTGGAGACTTTATAAACACCGTACACTTAGGCTACACTGAACTTGTATTTTTTTCTTTCTTCACTAATAAATTAACCTTAGTTTACAGCAACTTTTTTACTTAATAAACTTTTAATTTTTTAGATGTTTTGTCTTTTATAGTAATACTCAAAATACAAACACATTTTATAGCTGTACAAAAATACTTTCATCTTTATAGCCTTCTTTTATAAGCTTTTTCTATTTTTAATGTTTTAAAACTTAAAAATTTTTTTTGTTAAAAACGAAAATACACACACCCATACACATTAGCCTAGGCCTATACAAGGTCAGGAGCGTCAGTGTCACTGTATTCCATCTCCACCTCTTGTCCCATTGGAAGGTCTTCAGGGGCAATACCACGCATGGAGCTGTCACCTGATAACAATGTTTTCTGCCGGATACCTCCTGAAGGACCAGCCTGAGGCTGTTTTACGGTTAACTTTTTTTAAGTATGTGCACACTCTAAAATAACAATGAAAAGTATAGTATAGTAAATACATAAACCAGTATCGGAGTCATTTATTCCTGTTGAGCATTTTGTGCTGTGCATAACTTTATGTGCTGTACTTTATGCCACTGGCAGAGCAGTAGGTTTATTACAGCAGCTTCCCAACAAACAGGTGAGCAGTGTGTTGTGCTACATTGTTACGATGGCTACAACATCACTCCCTAGGCAAGAGGTACTTTTCAGCTCTATTATAATCTTAAAGTAACACCATGGCATATGCGGTTCATCAATGCCCAAAATGAATATGGCCCATGACTGTATATCTCCTTCCTTCCTTCCTTTTCTTCCTTCCTTCCCTCCCCCCCGCTTTCTCCTTCCTTCCTTCCTTCTTTCACCAGAGTGTCACTCTTATTGCCCAGGCTGGACTGCAATGGCGCAATCTTGGCTCACCGCAACCTCCACCTCCTGGGTTCAAGCAATTCTGCTGCCTCTGCCTCCCTAGTAGCTGGGATTACAGGCGCGCGCCACCACGGCTGGCTAATTTTGTATTTTTAGGATAGATGGGGTTTCTCTATGTTGGACAGGCTGGTCTCAAACTCCCAACTTCAGGTGATCCACCCGCCTCAGCCTCCCAAAGTGCTGGGATTACAGGCATGAGCCACCACACCCAGCCTATCCTTCTTTCTAATATCCTAATAACTGTAACTGTGAATATATTTTAAAACTGACATGGAATAAAAAACTGAGAAAAACCAGTAATCGTTGTGACCAGCATAGGTTCCATTAGGAGCTGGTGGGGTGAATTATCTGTGTTTGTTTAGTTTCACTTGCCACTAGCATCCTAGTTAGGCACCCTCATGGGGAAGGAGATAAAGAGAATGGTAAAAACTAGAAGTTACAGGGAGCCAGATTTTTGTTTCAAAGCAAGGCAGAATTTCATAAAAGGGCTGTCTAAAAAGTGGACTAAACTGGCTTCCCATGAGATGGGGAGTTACAAAGGCAGTTCCTGCAGGTAAGAAGGAATGTAGTCTATCTACGGTGTTCTCTTGTTCACTTGGGCCACAGCGGTAAAGTTGTACAGGACTGAACAGAATCTGAAAACCAACAGGAGATTATTTGTGATTTTAAATACCCACATGCTCCCATTAAGAAAGCAGATGGGGCCGGGCACGGTGACTCACACCAGTAATCCCAGCGTTTTGGGAGGCTGAAGCGGGTGGATGAAAAGGTCAAGAGATGGAGGCCATCTGGCCAACATGGTGAAACCCCATCTCTACTAAAAATACAAAAAATTAGCCGGGCGTGGTGGTGCGTGCCTGTAGTCCCGGCTACTCGGGAGGCTGAGGCAGGAGAATTGCTTGAACCCAGGAGGCGGAGGTTGCGGTGAGCTGGGATCGCCCCACTGTACTCCAGCCTGGTGACAGAGCAAGATTCCATCTCAAGAAAAGAAAAAAGAAAGTAGAAAGCAGATGGACCATTTTAAATTGTCAATCTAGACTTAAATAAGTATGGCAACTTACTATAAAGGCTAAAAGCCTGTGGATAGTCTTTAGGCAGTACTTTCTGGAATTTATTTAAAAAATTAAAACAATGGTAGTCCGTGAGTGTAAAATTTCCTCTAAAGAAGAGATCTGTTAAAGAAAGCAGTCAAAGTAGAACTAAGTGAGAATTTCTGTACATGTTCTCATGCTCTTACATTCCTCTGCCTTCCAACTTGGTACTACACATTCCTCTGTCGCTGTTTTTTACCTTCCAATTGCTTTTGAGGAGACAGAAAGGGAATGATGCTTACCCAGGTGTGAAAGTGGGATTCTTTGTCATGTACCTACCATGTCTCCCAGGTGGTTCATGCCCAGATCATATGAGTGCATTCCCATTGAATGCTCCAGGTTGTGAAGCATCACAAACTTTAGATTCTTTTCCCAGATGAGACGTCGTACTGCTTCTTCATTCTAAAACATAGCGAAGAAGAACATAGTCATACTGCATCCCTGACAATAAGTGTTCAATGATGAAAATGGCTTTTTTTTTGAGATGGAGTCTTAGTCTGTCGCCCAAGTTGGAGTCCAGTGGCAAAATCTCAGCTCACTGCCACCTCTGCATCCTGGGTTCAAGTGACTCTCCTGCCTCAGCCCCCGAGTAGCTGGGATTACAGGCACATGCCACCACACCCAGCTAATTTTTTTATTTTTAGTAGGGATGGGGTTTTACCCTGTTGGCCAGGATAGTCTCAATCTCTTGACCTCGTGATCCGCCCGACTCAGCCTCCCAAAGTGCTGGGATTACAGGTGTGAGCCACTGCACCCAGCTGAAATTAGCATTTTTGAAGCATTCTACCAAATATGGATCTGCCTGAGAGAATGAAAATAAATGAATATATCCAATATAACTGCTAACTTCACATATTAATCTTAATTCTTGCTCTTAATTGCTTTGATGGTGATTAATATTATTTTATGATAAACAATGAATTTTCTTCTTTTAAAAATTTATTATTATTGGTTTTCATATTGTTTTTTAGAGAGAGTCTCCCTCTGTCCAACAGGCTGAATGGAGTGCAGTGAAGTAGCGGTGATTACTGCTCACTGCAGCCTTGACCTCTTGGGACCCAGCAATCTTCATACCTCAGCCTCCTGCGTAGCTGGGATCACTGATGTGTGCCACTGCAGCCAGTTTTTTTTTTTTTTTTTGGTAGACACTGGGTCTCCCTATGTTGCCCAGGCTCATCTTGAATTCCTGGGCTCAAGCAATCCTCCATCAGCCTCTCAATGTGCTGGGATTATAGGTGTGAGCCACTGTGTTCAGCATTTCTTTCTTTTTTTTTTTTACAGAGTCTTGTTCTGTTGCCCAGGCTGAAGTACAGTGCTATGATCACAGCTCACTGGCGCCTCAAACTCTTGGGCTCAAACTATCCTCCCATCTCAGCTGCCTGGGTAGCTAGGACTACAAGCATACACCACCACAACCAGCTTATTATTATTATTATTATTTGTTTTTGGAGAGACAGGGTCTCCCTATGTTGCCCAGGCTGGTCTAAACTCCTAGCCTTAAAGAATCCTTCCCCCTTGGCCTCCCAAAGTGCTGGGATTATGGGCATGAACCATGCACCCAGTCATGATTTTCTTTCTTTTTGATGTTTTATAACTTCATTACATGTGTCTGGGTGTAGGTTTCTTTATTTACCTTCAGCTGTGTACTTTTGATTGGATGACTCAGGACCTTTTCTCATATCTGGAAAATTCTCAACCAGTGTCTCTGCATATATTGCTTCTCCACCATTCCATCTAATTCTCTTCTTCTGAAACTCCTATTTGAAGTATTTAGGAGCCTCAGACTCTCTCTCACCTCTCTGACTTGTGATTTCATAGATTTTTCTTTTCTGGGTGAATGCCTCAGCACTATATTTTAGATGACTGATTCTATCCAACTCTTTCCAGTCTGGGAATCCTTTTGATTTTTATTGTAATGACAATATTTTTTATTTCCAAAATTTCTAATTTATTTTGCAATTTCTTTTTCATTAGTGTGTATATTATTCCTCTATATATAGTCTTTTGAAAAGTCATTTTTGGTTCTATTATTTTAATTTTATTCAGAGTGAATTTTTACACACTGCCTGTTAATTTTCTTTTCCTCTAGGAGATTCATTTACATAGAAAACAATAATGTAGAAGGCAAGGTGGATGGTGCCTCCTAGAATAGCTGAAGCCAGAGTTTCCAATAAGCTAGAACCCCAGGGAGCAGTTAGCACAACTCTCTTTTGCCTCATTTCATTGAGCGGGTGAGGCCAGGCCCAGACCCTAGTTTTAGGCACTGGGTAGCAAGTTTGGATGCAGGTTTCTCTCCCTTGGAGGAAGGTTTTACTGTTACCCTGGTAAGGGACAGAATGGGCATGCATGATGGGCATACGTTCAGACCACAAGATGAGAAGCAATGGTATAGAGACAAATCTAAGTACAAGAAAGGAAAAGAGGCCAGGCGCGGTGGCTCACGCCTGTCATCCCAGCACTTTGGAAGGTCAAGGCGGGTGGATCACAAGGTCAAGAGATCAAGACCATCCTGGTCAACATGGTGAAACCCCATCTCTACTAAAAATACAAAAAATTAGCTGGGCATGGTGGTGCGTGCCTGTAATCCCAGCTACTCAGGAGGCTGAGGCAGGAGAATTGCCTGAACCCAGGAGGCGGAGGTTGCGGTGAGCCGAGATCGCGCCATTGCACTCCAGCCTGGGTAACAAGAGCGAAACTCCATCTCAGAAAAAAAAAAAAAGAAAGAAAGGAAAAGAAAAAAAGAAGTGCACTTTGCGATCAACTATTAAGGTAGGATGCTAATCAAAAGTCATGTTCATCCCTCCTGAGGGACTGGAATTATTAAAAAAGGAATAGCATCCATTTAACCGGACAGTGGTGCTAATTGCACATTTAACTCCAGTCAACCTTGAAATGAGGAACCTGGTCATCAAGGGTGTGGGTGAGGGTGAAATTCATCACCACAAAGGAAACCATATGATCATTTCAATAGATGCAGAAAAAGCATTTGACGGAATTCAACATCCTTTCATGACAAACATTTCCACAAATTACGTATAGAAGGAATGTCCCTCAACACAAATAGGCCATATATGACAAGACTAAAGCTAACACCATACTCAACTGGGTGAAAATTTAAAGGCCGTTTCGCTAAGATCAGAAGAAAACAAGGGTACATACTCTCTCACCTTTTCTAGTCAATATAGTACTGAAAATCCTAGCCAGGGCAATTAGGCAAGAAAAAAATACAAGGCCTCCAAATAAGAAAGGGAAGAAGTGAAAAGAAGATAAAAATAAAAATAAAGTAATATGTAAAATAAAAATTTAAAAAAACAAAGAAAAAAAAAGAAAGGGAAGAAGTGAAATTGCCTTTGCTTGCTGATGACTTGATCATATAGAAAATCTTGGCCAGGTGTGGTGACTCATGCCTGTAATTGCAGTACTTTGGGAGGTGGAGATGGGAGGATTGTATGAATCAAGAAGTTCAATACCAGCCTGGACATCATGGCAAGACACCATCTTTACAAAAAAACAAACATAGAAATTAGCCACATGTGGTGGCATTTGCCTGTAGCCCCAGCTACTTGGAAGGCTGAGGCAAGAGAATCACTTGAGCTGGGAGTTTGAGGCTGCAGTGAGCTATGATCACACCACTTCGCTCCAACCTGAGTGACGAAGCAAGATCTCGTCTCAAAAAAAAGAAAAGAAAAGAAAAGGCTAGGTGCAGCGGTTCACGTCTGTAATCCCAGCATTTTGGGAAGCCAAGGTGGGTGGATCATGAGGTTGGCAGTTTCAGACCAGCCTGACCAACATGGTGAAACCCCATCTCTACTAAAAATACAAAAACTATCTGGGCATGGTGGCACGCGCCTGTAATCCCAGCTACTCAGGAGGCTGAGGCAGGAGAACTGCTTGAACCCAGGAGGCAAAGATTGTGCCACTGTACTCCAGCCTGGGTAACAAGAGCAAAACTCCATCTCAAAAAAAAGAGAGAGAGAGAGAGAGAAAAGAAAAGAAAGAAGAGCAAATCTTAAAGACTCCATCAAAAAACTACTAGAACTGATAAATGAATGCAATAAAGTAGGACACAAAGTAAATGTACAAAAGTCAGTAGTGTTTTTATACACTAACAACTATTTGCAAAAGAAATTAGGAAAACAATTCTGTTTACAATAGCAGTTAAAACATACTTAGGAGTTAATTTAACAAAGGAGTTGAAAGGTTGTATGCCAAAAACTATAGAACATTGATGAAAGAAATTGAAGACAAAATAAATAAATGGGAAGATATCCATGCTCATGGATTGGAAGAATTAATATTGCTAAAATGTTCATACTACCCAAAGCAAACTAGAAATTCAGTGCAATCCCTATCAAAATTCCATGCAATCCCTATCAAAATTCCAATGTTATTCTTCACAGAAATAGAAAAAAGCAATCCTCAAATTCATATGTAACTACAGAAGTCCTCAAATAGTCAAAGCAATCTTTAGCAAGAGGAACAAAGCTGGAGGCATTACAGTACCTAATTTCAAAATATATTACAAAACTATAGTAATTTAAACAGTATAGTACTTGCATAGAAACAGATGCATTTACCAAGGGACTAGGATATAGTGCCCAGAAATAACCTGCAATTTTATGGTCAACCGATTTTCAGCACAGGTGCCAAGAACACACAGTGGGGGAAGGATAATCTCTTTAATCAACAGTATTGGGAAAACTGGCTATCCACATGCAGTAAAATGAAACTGAACCCTATGTCTCTCCATATGCAATAATCAACTCAAAATGAACTAAAGCATAAATATAAGGCCTGAAACTATATAAGAAAATACAGGGGAAAACTCCACAACATTGGTTCGGGTAATGGTTTTTTGAATATGACCCCTAAAGCATAGGCAACAAGAGCAAAAATAGACAAATGTGACTCCATCAAACTACAAAGCTTTTGTACAACAAAGGAAACAATTAACAGAGTGAAAGGATAACTCATAGATTGGGAGAAAATATTTGCAAATTATACAGTTGATAAGGGGCTAATATCCCAAATATAGAAGGAACTCAAAGTAACCAAAACAGGAAAACAACCCTGTTTAAAAATGGGAAAAAGACCTGAATAGAAATTTCTCAAAAGAAGACACATACAAATGGCGAATAGATACATGAATAAATGCTCAATATCACCAATCATCAGGGAAATACAAATTAAAACCACAAAGAGATACCATCTCATATCTGTTAGAATGGCTATTATCAAAAGGATGAAAGATAAGGGTTGGTGAAGATGTGGAGAAAAGGGAGCCCTTATACACTGTTAGTGGGAATGTTAATTAGTATAGCCATTTTGGAAAACAGTGTGGCGGTTTCTCAAAAAACTAAAAATATAATGACTGTACGATACAGCAGTCTCACTTCTGGGTCTATGTCCCAAGGAAGCGCAATCAGTATGTCAGCGAGATAGCTGCGCTATCATTGCAGGATTATTCACAATACCCAAGATACGGAATCAACCTTATAAAGTGTCCATCAAAAGATGAATCAAGAAAAAAGTGTGGTACATATTGTATTCCATACATAATGCAATATTATTTATCCTTAAAAAAGAAAGAAAATCGGTCATTTCCAACAACATGAATGAGTTCACAGAACATTATGCTAAGTGGAATAAGCCAGGCACAGAAAGACAAATAATGCATAATCCCACTTACGTGTGGAATCTAAAAAGGTTGAACTCATAGAAGTAGAGAGTAGAATGGTGGTTAGCAGAGGCTGGGAGAAGGGTAGACAGGGAAAGGGGAGATGTTAGTCACAGAGTCCAGTTTCATTTAGACAGGAAGAATAAGCTCTAGCAATCTACTGCATAGCATGGTGACTACAGATGATAATGTATTTTATATTTTAAAATTACCAAAGGGATAGATTTTAAATGTTCTCATCACAAAGAAAGGATGAGTATGTGAGGTGCTGAATGAGTTAATTAGCCTAATTTAATCATTCTGCAATGTATATGTGTATCATAACATCACATTATACTCTATATACACAATTATTTAATTATAAATAAATAAAAATAAAACGGAGTAAATAATCTACTGAGTGTCATTTTTATACAAAATAATATGTCAAATAAATAAATATATGATGCTAACTTACAAACAGAAATATTACAGTTACAGGACTTAGTTACTGAAAGCAATAGGGTTAAGGTCTTACCATCAGCAAGAATGCTTTGAAATAAAAATAAAACTACAAAATGGGAAGTGACAGCCAAGCAACACCATCTGGTCGCACTATGTGGATAATAAGGCCTTTTTAATCCTCACCCGTCTCAAATGTGGCCCTTCCTCAGGGCTTGTGCTCATTTGCCCTTGGCCTGAGACCTTCATTACGAATCTTGCTTGCTCCCTGGCTTCCATCCATTCTCTGCTCAAATGGAACGCTTATCCGTGAGCCCTTCCCTTACCCTCGTATCTTCTAGAATTCTTGCCACCACCACCACCCAGGACCCTTTCTACTACTCTCTATGACTCCCTTTATTTTTATCTACAACACTTATCACCATCTAACAAACTATGGATCTGGTTATTTTCTTATTTCCTGTCTCTCTCACTATAATATAAGCTCTATAAAAGGAATTTTGTTTTGATTCCTGCTGTATGGTACCAAGAACAGTATCTGGCAAGAAACAAGTATGTCATATTTATTTATTTATTTATTTTTGAAAGAGTCTCACTCTGTCACCCAGACTGGAGTGCAGTGGTGCCATCTCGGCTCACTGCTACCTCCGCCTCCCAGGTTCAAGCGATTCTGCCTCAGCCTCCCGAATAGCTGGGATTACAGGCACCTGGCACCATGCCTGGCTAATTTTTGTATTTTTAGTAGAGATAGGGTTTCACCATGTTGGCCAGGCTGGTCTCGAAATCCTGACCTCAGGTGATCTGCCCCCCGTTTGGCCTCCCAAAGTGCTGGGATTACAGGCATGAGCCACCGTGCCCAGACTAAATATTTGCCGACAACACTGCCTATAAGAACGCAATTTTGAGAGGTAGAAAACAGTACACTCCTGTAAAAGCATATCACTCGAGTGGCAATCCAATCCAGTCTACCTTTTCTTTATATTGTTTGCCATAGGTTTTCTTCCAGAGATTCCAGTGGTGATCCAGGGTGGGATCTTTAAGCAATTGCGCCACTGCAGAGGAGCACACGAAGAGCACACAAACCAGCTGTTTCATTCTGTGTGAAGAAAGGTAACATAGGAAGTGTAGCTATTAACTGCATATGTTGTGACCATATTTTTCATAATAGAAAATAACAATGTGAAGTCTATCAAAGGGACAGACTATTATAAATCAAAATTACACAGGAAAATTCCTGGGAAATAGTCACAGGGAATAACTGCAAATTTATGTCTGAAATACTACTTCCAATACTTAGTAGCACTTAAAAAAGTGATTTCTGGCCGGGCGCAGTGGCTCAAGCCTGTAATCCCAGCACTTTGGGAGGCCGAGGCGGGTGGATCACGAGGTCAAGAGATCGAGACCATCCTGGCCAACATGGTGAAACCCCATCTCTACTAAAAATACAAAAATTAGCTGGGCGTGGTGGTGTGTGCCTGTAATCCCAGCTACTCAGGAGGCTGAGGCAGAATCGCTTGAACCTGGGAGGCGGAGGTAGCAGTGAGCCAGGATTGATCCACTGCACTCCAGCCTGGTGACAGAGAGAGACTCCGACTCAAAAAAATATCAAAAGTGATTTCCAGGAGTTTCTCAATATCTGGTAAACCAAACACATCTAGGGGGTTAAAAAACAGGGACTTCCCAGGATTTGCCAACAAATCTAATAAAAGGAAATCTCTCTCTCGGAAAAAAAAAAAAAATCCTTAAGAAGAGGACAAACCTCTGAAAACTCAGTTTATCGTCTGAATTTCTGAATACAGGAGCTTTTCTTAACTGACCTATTTAAATATCCACAATCTTTACAGATAGTTAAAAGACAACTCTCATCTATTGCTTTCACATCTTTAGGTAGATAATTTTCCTTTTTAAGTGTTTTTTTTTCAATGATCAGATATCTGTTTCAAATGAAACAATTAACTACCCTTTATTTTTTACTTGTTTCTCCTTGCTCCCTCCTTAACTACTCTTTAAAATGGCACTTGTATATTTAATTCCAAGAGACAACAGAAATTCAGTGACTAGCTCCCTCAAACTGGATTTTACTTTCTTTTTCATTGAAAACATCTGGAATTTTAAACATGTAAACCTTCAAATTGTATTCCAAAGAAAGCCACGTTTCAGCCTCAACTTAGATGCTTAGATGCTCAAGCAGACATTAACTTTTTAAAAATAGAGAAGAGACAAATTGAGTGACACGATTTTTTAGGTTACTTCCTGAAAGCAAAGATTTAAAACCTAGCAGGCAGAACAAGCTACGAACACAAAGTGTTTGGAGACCAAATGGGGGGAAAAGAACAGTACATACGTGATAGAACTGACAGGTGCTCCCATGGTATGGTAAGGATCCTTAACTTGGTGGGCTCTCTTCTAAGATTTCACAGGCAAGGAGATTTCAGTTCAATTGACTTTAAAAAGAAATTGGAACTTGTCACATGAGGTACCCACAATGAGGAAGTGAACTTTCATTTCAGTTTCATTTAAAATCTAGCTAGCTCAGTCACCTCTAGTCCTCTCCCTATGGTCTTGGGGACAAAGTGGATACTGTAAGCCATCAAAAAGAGCCCTTGGCAGGGCACGGTGTCTCACACCTGTAATCCCAGCACTTTGGGATGCCAAGGCGGGTGGATCACCTGAGGTCAGCCTGGCCAACATAGTGAAATCCCATCTCTACTAAAAATACAAAAAAATTAGCTGGGTGTGGTGTCAGGCACCTGTAATCCCAGCTACTTGGGAGGCTGAGACAGGAGACTTGCTTGAACCCAGGAGGCAGAGTTTACAGTAGCCGAGATGGTGACACTGCACTCCAGCCCGGGCAACAGTGTGAGGCTCTGTCTCAAAAAAAAAAAAAAAAAAGCCCTTGGCTAGGCCCAGTGGCTCATGCCTGTAATCCCAGCACTTCGGGAGGCCAAGGCAGGAGGATCACTTGAGGCCAGGAGTCCAAGACCAGCCTGGGCAATATAGCAAGACCCTGACTCAGTAGACAGAGCTAGGAAATACCTTTTTTTAAAAAATTAAATAGATCACAAACTCACACTGATACTTCAACTTCAAATTCGAGATTACAGGGTTTACCCAACCCCATCAATCTTGAACTTCTTTTCAAACATGCTTAAAAAATCTGAGTTCTCTAAAATATCAACTCAAGTACTTCTTTAATTTATCCTGTAAAATTTCAGGAAAACAACAACAAGCCTACGACCAATAAGATTATTAATGAAAACAAATTAGAGAGTTTAAATGGGAGGGGTACAGTAAGCCATTTTCCGCTAAGGATGTAAGTCAATTACTGCGTTCTGAAGTCACCTTGAATAGTTCCCTGTATGGTTCTGCCACCACTTCCATACAGTTAGGTTTATTTAGTTCATTTCACTTTTTCCTTTTAAGGATTGCTTTTTACACTTGTAATTTTGTTTTATAATTATGTATAACATTGGATCCAAAGTGAAATCAACACAATGAGGTATATTCGAAGAATTCTAGCCTCTCTTTTTGTCTGCTTTACACGATTTCCTTTTTCCCTTGATTGGTAATCATTTAAACAATTTATGATTTATTGCCTATTTAAAAAATATGCAAATATGCCTATATATTAATACTCCTCCATCTTTTTAAAGTGAACACTAATATACATACTTTTCTCTATCTTGTTTTTTTCACTTAACATTTTTTTCTTTAATTCAGTCAATCACTTAACATTTTATTAAGAAAAATTATTCAGGAGAAAGAGATTATCAGGTGTCGTTTCAGTGGTGTGCTGGGTATTTCTTAGAGAACCTTTACAGGAATTGTTTGATTCTTTTTAGAGTTAAGTTGTAAATAACTGATAACTATGCAAATGATCCCTATACGAGGCAATGCAAACAAATTTTGGTTGTAGATTTTACTGAATAGAGAATATAGATTTCTAATTCTTTTTTTTGAGACACAGCCTCACCCTATCACCCAGGCTGGAGTTCAGTGACACGATCTCTGATCTCGGTTCATTGTAACCTCCGCCTCCTGGGTTCAAGCGTTCTCTTACTCCTGAGTAGCTGGGATTACAGGCGTGCACTACCATGTCCAGGTAATTTTTTTTTTTTTTTTGAGACGGAGTTTCGCTCTTGTTACCCAGGCTGGAGTGCAATGGCGCAATCTCGGCTCACCGCAACCTCCGCCTCCTGGGTTCAGGCAATTCTCCTGCCTCAGCCTCCTGAGTAGCTGGGATTACAGGCATGCGCCATCATGCCCAGCTAATCTTTTGCATTTTTAATAGAGATGGAGTTTCACTATGTTGTCCAGGCTGGTCTCAAACTCCTGACCTCAGGTGTTCCACCAACCTGGGCTTCCCAGAGTGCTGGGATTACAGGCATGAGTCACTGTGCCTGGCCTCAAATTCTTATTTGAACTAATTTTAATCTTACTGATCCCTTATTAATTAATGAGTTAAATAAAATCTTTGACATATTCATTGTATATCTGTTGTAGGAGTCATGTTCTCAGCTTTTTAGAAACTATAGCAATTAAATTCTGATAACTCCACAGTAGTATATATAGTGTTCATTTATTTTTATGGCCATGTAGCATCTTTTGAACAATATTCCTATGTCTGGAGAATTTCCCTCATTATACATTTTGCTTCTCCCAGTTGAAGCCAAAACTCCATCTTCAAGGCTCCAATGCAGTTAAAGCACAGACATGAGAACTAGCCTTTGTCAGTCAGACACACCTGTATAGAACATGATTTTGCAAGTGGTTGAGGAACCATAAGTATGTAAAATCCTCCTTTTTTTTTTGAGACAGAGTTTTGCTCTTGTTGCCCAGGCTGGAGTGCAATGGCGTGATCTCAGCTAACTGCAACCTCCGCCGCCCAGGTTCAAGCAATTCTCCTGTCTCAGATTACAGGCATACACCACCATGTTTGGCTAATTTTTGTACTTTTAGTAGAAACGGGGTTTCTCCATGTTGGTCAGGCTGGTCTTGAACTCCTGACCTCAGGTGTTCCACCCACCTTGGCCTTCCACATTGCTGGGATTACAGGTGTGAGCCACCATCAGTGCCCGCCCTAAAATCCTCCTTTTGCTGAGAATGGCAGTAGAGCTGTCTCCCAGCAGCAGCAGCAACAGTGGCAGCAGCAGATATTCTAGCATCTGGCCCCCAGTGTCACCTGTTCAAGCTGTAGTGTTTATGTCAAATATTGTGTTTGCTCGGTGGCATCATAGGTTGAGCAGTCCTCTCTGTGTGGATTGGGTGAGGTTTGCGGTTACACAGTGAACAAACCTTATGTTTCACAGATTCTTCGAGCTTCCTGCACTTCTTAAATAAACTCTAGTGCCCAGATAGATGAACTCCGTAATGACATCCACAGCTGTGCTGAGTTTGGAAAAACAAGGGTGGAGCCTCAGAAGCTAGAATGGATAAGGTGCTTTTCTCAGGCTGTGAACAGAGGAAACTCAAGAAGAATGCTATTGTGGAACTCATAATTTCAGATTGCCTTCTCTATCCTTCCTTACACATCTGATCTCATACCTGATTTTTTTTTTTTACTTTTAGCCTTGATACCTTTATATGTATTTCTACCTCCAGAAATATGTAGTTCAATTTCCTTAATGAAGAAATGAGCATAGGAACAAATTTCTTTCCATCAAGATTAAAATGATAGACAAGTGCTTTTACAAGGTCCCATGTATTTTTCCAGTCATTATTTCTCTGTCTGACAGGGTCTATAAATGTACACTCAGTATGGAGCATAACCATGGTGATTAGGCTACAGCACACCTTCTGCCTCCATTCCTGGGTATTACCTACAGGGAATTGTGTATGAAATTATGTCTCTAGCTGTTTCAGGCAATCCTGTATCAAGTGAGAAAAAAATTCGGGGTTAATTGTGTTTCCTAGTGGTACTCTAAACAGGATTCAGGATGGCAGCAGCCATCTAAATGTCTTCCCTTGTTTATTTCTAAATCTATAAATTAATTCCAGATTTACCATGAAACTAAGTTGAGTTGGTCCCAGAATGAAACAGGCCTCTCAGGGACACACCCACCTCTTCCCAGCCTGCCTTTGGACTCAGTAAGTAAGCAGAGACTATGTTTGTCTGACATACATGACCCCTGGTTAACCTGTAGGTTGTAGAAGAAACCTAAATTTTATTTATGGAGAATAAAAATGAATTACCTTTTGTGAGAAAAAGAACAAGTGACATATTAACTGCTATTGTATTTTCTGTCGTCAGGGCGTGGGCCGAGTAAAAGCTTCAAAGCTTTTGCATATGTCTTGGTTCTGCCATCTGTTGGTTATAAGGCCTGGAGCAAGTAAGTTAACATGCCCGAGGCTCACTGCCTAGGCAGAAGTGAGAAAATTCTGACTCAGTGGCAACGAAACAGTGGAAGACACCAGCAACAGAATGTAATTATAATGTCGCTCCATGAGGCGGTTATTCCTAAGTCCATTCCTTTTGCAGAACAAGTTTCTAATACAGTACTCAGTATTAAGATAGATGATTATGAGCAAGGGCTACGGTGTCGGGTATTCATTTGAAATACGAATACTCCTGACACTCATTTGTCAATGCTCCATTTGGTATCTTTTTGTCTGTGGGATTGCGGGGGTGTAATTACTACTGCTTGAACAAAAACACCAAGTATTTTCTTGGAGGAAACAAAATCTTATTTGAAAACTTCTGTTAATTATGCAATTTCTCAGCATTGTTTTTGTGCTGTGGAAAGCACAATACTGATTCTTGGCACAATCTCAGGAGGAGGGATTGATGGCACAAGGTAACTACAAGGAGCTCTGAACTCTATTTTTTTTTTTTTTTTTGAGATGGAATCCTGCTCTGTCACCCAGGCTGGAATGCAGTGGCACAATCTCAGTTCACTGCAACCTCCACCTCCCAGGTTTAAGCGATTTTCCTTTCTCGGCCTCCTGAGTAGCTTGGACTGCAGGCGCCCGCCACCATGCCTGGCTAATTTTTGTATTTTCAGTAGAGATGAGGTTTCACCACATTGGCCAGGCTGGTCTCAAACTCCTGACCTTGTGACCCGCCCACCTTGGCCTCCCAAAGTGCTAGGATTACAGGTGTGAGCCACCATGCCCTCCCTGAACTCTTATGAGTCAAGCACTTATCCTCTTCACCAGCAGGACTAGCTCCTTTCTCAATTATTTTGGTGTCTTACTGTACGGATAACACAAAAAGTAGGAGGGGATTAATGGAATGAAAGTGTTTAGGTACCTAGCATTATTGGAATGTCGTAAAAGTAAAAACTGGTATTAGATTCTAGAAAGTCAAAGATGAATTTATAATCCTTAGGATAATCATTAAAATAATCATAAAAGGATTTATAACTGATAAGCTAACAGACAAGGAAAATAAAGTAATAAAAATATATAATTATTTTAAAGCAAGGCAGTAAAAGAGAGGAAAAGG